CCACTCAGCCAGACCCCCATCTCCGCTCAGCCAGACCCCCATCTCCACTCAGCTAGAGCCCCATCTCTACTCAGCTAGACCCTCATCTCCACTCAGCTAGACCCCATCTCCACTCAGCCAGACCACCATCTCTGCTCAGCCAGAGCCCCATCTCCACTCAGCCAGACCCCCATCTCCGCTCAGCCAGACCCCGATCTCCACTCAGCCAGACCCCCATCTCCGCTCAGCCAGAGCCCCATCTCCACTCAGCCAGACCCCCATCTCCACTCAGCCAGACCCCCATCTCCGCTCAGCCAGACCCCCATCTCCACTCAGCCAGACCCCCATCTCCGCTCAGCCAGACCCCATCTCTAATCAGCCAGAGCCCCATCTCCACACAGCCAGAGCCCCATCTCTACTCCGCCAGACCCCTATCTCCGCTCCGCCAGACCCCCATCTCTACTCAGCCAGACCCCCATCTCTACTCAGCCAGAGCCCCATCTCCGCTCCGCCAGACCCCCATCTCTACTCAGCCAGAGCCCCATCTCTAATCAGCCAGACCCCCATCTCCGCTCCGCCAGACCCTCATCTCCAGTCCACCAGACCCCCATGTCCGCTCCGCCAGACCACCATCTCTGCTTAGCCAGAGCCCCATCTCCACTCAGCCAGACCCCCATCTCTACTCAGCCAGAGCCCCATCTCCACTCAGCCAGACCCCCATCTCCACTCAGCCAGACCCCCATCTCCGCTCAGCCAGACCCCCATCTCCACTCAGCCAGACCCCCATCTCCGCTCAGCCAGACCCCATCTCTAATCAGCCAGAGCCCCATCTCCACTCAGCCAGACCCCCATCTCTACTCAGCCAGAGCCCCATCTCCACTCAGCCAGACCGCCATCTCCACTCGCCAGACCCCCATCTCCGCTCCGCCAGACCCCATCTCCACCACAAGCAGCAACAATCTGCCTTTGCGGCGCCATTGGCATCGTCACATTGCGAAGGGCACAAGTTTTCACTCTCTCGTTATTTATATATATTATTTTTAGTTTTTGATTCGTCGGGCAAAAGTCTTGGGGGTTTTGTTTTTGTACCATCTATCTGAGGGCCAATTCACGTAGCAGCATTGTGGGATGCAATTGCATGAATAACGCTAGCGAAAATGACAATATTATTACTATTCTAGGTTGTCTTGCTTTGTGCCCACGTGACACAGAAACACATAACTGTCACCCCCGTGTCAGTGCCCCACCTTATTACAGACCAATTCATACCTTATTGGTCACCCCGTGTCCTTATAAATCTGAACGTTCATCCTCCAAAGTCCCATGACAAGGGAGAAACATAAACAAATAGACAAAAAAGAATAATTTTGCCCGTATTGAAACGGCTGTAGGCCACATGGACCTGAAAACTCAATTTGCCTATACAAGAATACGGGGTAAACAGAATGGGTCGACAGGTATGAGAAACGCGAGGGCGATGCCACGCGGCCCTCCCCATTTACGTAAAAACGAATAACATTAAAAAAAGAAAATCAACCCAACAGCTCTGGCTGGGGACCTGCGGACGCGTGGCCCCTTGTGATAGAGCCCTAAGGGGTTCTGATATTTTCCGAAAGGCGTTGAGATAAGACGGTGGTTGTGCGTGCGTGGGTGGGTTAGGGGGGGGGTGGGGGTTAGGGGGTAATGGGGGGGGGTGCTGGCGATGGTGGTGGTTTTTGTGGTTTTACGTAAGTGCGCGCGTGTGCGTGTGCATGCATGTGTGCGTGCGTGTACGTGTGTACGTGCGCGTGTGTGCATTTTGGTTTGTGTTCTGGGTGCTGTGGCCTGTTCTGCAAACGGCTGATAAGAGACGTGGCCAGAGCCTGGGAGTGGCCCTGAGACCATTGAGGACATCAGTGCCGAGTTCAACAATAATATTAGTCGTAGTAGTAATAAATAATCGTGAATATTCATCAGAAATAATAATTTTTGAGTTTCCCAATAAAACACGATTGGGAACCGTTGGTGTGGGCGTGTGCTCAGTGCTGGTGATGATGGTGGTGATGGTGGTGGTGATGATGATGGTGGTGGTGATAGTGGTGGTGATGGTAGTGGTGCTGACGATGATGCTGCTGCTGCCGTGAGGTGGCTCTGGGGGTGTTAAATGGTCAGCCAGGTGGGGACTGCCGATCCCTAGACGGTAAAGCAGTGGTCATGCCTGAGCCTCGCAGTCTAGAAGGAGCCTGGGTTCGATTCCTGACTCCAGTGCCACCTGTGTTGAGTTTATATGCCTCTCCCTCATTTGTGCAGACCCTGAGTGAGTGTGTCAGTGTGTATGTGTGTCACACGTACACTCTCTACTCGTGATCATTAAGGACCTTCATGATGGTGAGCGGGCCCGGGTAAAACTATGTGGCCGGGAGTCAGAGCCATTCCCTATTCACCTTGGGGTGCGACAGGGATGCCCTCTGGATCCCACATTATTTAATATGTATTTTGATCACGTACTTCGTTAAGCCTTCAATGGCTGTACCGGAGGAATTTCCATCTGGTACAGATACAATGGGAGGCTGATCGATGCCTGGGTGTGGGCAAGGGATGGCTCCCTATTGGTCAACCATGTTATGTATGCCGATGATCTAGTAATTGCTGCTCACTCAGAGGAGGAGTTGGAGGTGCTGCTGCTGAACCTGGAGATTGCCACTAAGAGGAAGGGCCTTACCATCAGCCCCACCAAAACTAAACACCTGCCTGGGTATCTTGTGCCATCAGACACTCTACCCTCACAACTCCCAATTGGTGATGGGGCAGTTGAGGAGATAGTGGAGCGTTTCCCATACCTGGGAAGTGTGCTCATGACCGGCTTCGGTTTGACAGCAGAGGTCTCATTCCAAATCAGTCGAGCAGCATTATCTTTCATCGGTTGCGTAACGCTGTGTGGAAGCTACCTGGCCTGTCGCTCCGCACAAAGCTTCAGGTCTTTTCGGCAGTCATGCCGTCCCTTCTCTATGCTTGCGAAACGTGGACTCTCCTAATGGAACATCTTCGCCGGTTAGAAACATTTAGCCTGACCAGCCTAGGATCCATCCTGGGTTTAACCAAGTTGGATTGTGTGAGGAGCTCACAAATACTTGAAAGATCTGGACAAAGTCCCATCGGTGAGCTCCTCAAGCAGGAAAGACTGCGTTGGCTGGGTCATGTAACCCCCATGCCCAGCCACCGCATGCCTAAAGAGATTTTGTTCGGCCGGATAGAGGGTCTAAACGGACGCGACACGGGCTAGAGAAGAGATAGAGTGATGTGGTACAGGAGGATGTGGAGCTGAGTGGACTTGCCGATGACTGTTACCAGCGGTGTCAAGATTGGCCTCTGTGAAGGAGGCTCGTGAAGGATGCTACTGGGCAGTTGGAGGCAGTCGCCCTCCAACAACAACGGAGGGTGGAGAGGAGCGACGCTCACAACAACGAGCGGCAGAGGTGGTGCATCGGCCAGTCATCTCAGTCAGTCGACCCGTGGCACCTGGGTCTGCCCCGTGACCTCCTGCCGGTGGGCGTTCGACGCTTCACGTGGCATCAACGTGCACATAGCCTGGCACAAGCGCCGTGGTGACGTCACCGCAACTTAGTAGAGAATGGCGGTTGTTGTTGTTGTTATGTGTCACTGTGAGTGCGGTAGTGGAGTGGTTTGCGCGCTGCGCTACGAACCTGGGGACCCGAGTTCGATTCCCGCTCACTGGCACCAACACCATCCATGACGATTATCTGAACCGGTCCTGGGCCTCCCTTACGTCGACTCAGCCTCAAATGAGTACCTGGTGCGATGTGTAAAAACATTGCCACTAGAGAGACAAAGGCAGCCGGGCGTGGTGCTGGCCATCCACCCCATCGTGTGCTGTGCCGGCCTTCGTGGGTGCTGCTCGCTATCAGCACTTGCCCCAACAGTCCGTTGAGGCTACACGGGGGATCTTTGTGTTTTGCGCCTGGAGTGTGTACGTCTCTCTCTCTGCCCTTGTTCCGCAATACGTTTCCTCTGGCTTCTCCGCTTCCCCCACAACCAAACAATTATTCTAAGTGCTGAAATTGCAGCCGCAGATTGCCCAATGCGAATCGCACGCAGCAGCAGAAACGTCGCCTCCCTACTGGAAAAACTTAGTAGCATCCCTCCCGAGTAACAGTGCGCTGGATAAACAAGCAAAATAATTGTAATAACACGACACTATTTTATTTTTATTTTACCAGGTCAAGGCGCTGGCTATCACAAATGATAGCTCAACGAATCAGCTTATCGTCGGGTGGAAATTTATAGCAATAGTCAAACACTCTGATCGCGTGATGTTGATGGCTTAATGTGGAGGGAAAAACTGGAGGACCCAGAGAGATGCGCAAACTCTAAATGTAGAGCAGGTGTCAGGGTCGGAATCGAACCCACGACCTTCCGCATATCAGGCGAGGTAGTTAACATCTCCTCGCCACCGTGATGATGATAAGAGAGATAAACGCGCAAACTCCAAATATGCAACAGGCGTCTGGGTCAGAATCAAACCCACGACCTCCTGAATACCAGGCGAGGTAGTTAACATCTCCTAGTCACTGTGATGATAATGAGAGAGAGAGAAACGCAAACTCCAAATATGCAACAGGCGTCAGGATCGGGATCGAACCCACGACCCCTATATACCAGGTGAGGTAGTCAACATCTTTGTGTGTGTTGGTGTGCATGGTAATGGGGAGCGGTGGCATAGCGGTTAGCGCGCTACGCTATGAACCCGGCTTCCGGGGTTAAATTCCCGCTCACGGCCAACACCAGTGACGATTATCTTAACCAATCCTGGGCCTCCCCTAGGTAGACTCAGCCTCAAATGAGTACTTGATGCGGTGTGTAAAACATCATCATCGGGAAGAAAAAGGCGACCGGGCGTGGCTGCTGGCCACCCACCCCCTCATGCGCCACGGTGCCGGCCTTCATAGACGTTGCTCGCAAACGGCACTTTACCCCGACGGTCTCTGAAGGCTACGTGGGGGGGGGATCTTTGTCTTTGGCAGATGAGAGTGCGCGAGCAGAGGCCCGCGGGCCGCTCAAGAAGCGCCGCGGTGCCATCAAGCAGGCCAAGGTGCACCACGTCAAGGGCCACCAATTCACCGCCACCTTCTTCCCACAGCCCACGTTCTGCTCGGTCTGCAAGGAGTTTGTGTGGTGAGTGTGGGTGTGAGCGTTTGGGTGAGTGGGTGGGTGAGAGTGTGGGTGAGTGTGTGAGAGTGGTAGGGGAGCAGTAGCGCGCTGTGCTATGAACCTGGCGACCCGAGTTCGATTCCCGCTCACGGCCACCACCAGTGACGATTATCTGAACCGGTCCTGGGCCTCCCTTACGTCGACTCAGCCTAAAATGAGTTCCTGGTGCGACTTTTAAACCACGTCACTGGGGAAACAAAGGCGGCCGAGCGTGGTGTTGGCCACCCACCCCCTCGTATGTCGTACCGGCCTTTATAGGTGCTCGCGAACGGTGCTTGCCTTACACGGGGGATCTTTGTCTTTGAGTGTGGGTGAGGGTGAGAGAGTGGACACATATCACATATACAGCAGCAGGCATCCTAAGGGTTGGGATTGAACCCACGACCTCCTGCAACCAAGGCGATGTAGTTAACTTTTCTGAACAGGGTCCTCTGCCCTTGCCTAGTTTGACTCGTCCTTGAACACAACAAACCGAGTACACTGTGCAGTATTTTAAGTAAAGCACCAGGGTGGACCTAGAACGGTGGGTCAGGTGGGCGCGTTGTGCCTGTGTTGGGCTGGGTGTGCTCCTTACGCGGCCGTGCATCTCTCTCTGTCCCGCAGGGGCCTCAACAAGCAAGGCTACCAGTGCCGAGGTGAGCTCCACACCCACCACAGTTCGTGCGTACCTTATACCTGCGTACGTACATCCGTACCTACCTGCGTACATACCTGCGTACGTGCATATCCACACTAGAGGTTGTTTTTGGGTTAGAGCGCGTAAATAACAATGTATCATGGGCCCCTTTTTTTCCAGTATCAAAGTATGAAAATTAAGAATAGGTCCATAATGGCGTTTTTTTTTGGGTTAGATCGCGTAAATATACAAACGTGATGTTTAACCCGCTACCACCCTACACAGCCAACTAGTAAGCCTTGTCACATAAACAGAGCACGTCAATTCGTCACTGGTACAGCACACCGGTGTATTGCGGAGCCAAGCCACAACATTGACAATCTGAATACGACATTTAGCCAGTAATTACCACTAGCTTCATCAGGCGACAGCCAGATTTGTGAAGTCCACCTGTTTCGTTCCTTATACAGAGGCGTAGATGTAGTGATCACCATTGTCTTTTGTTGTGTGTGAGTGGGAAGCGGTGGTGTAGCAGTTCGTGCGCTGCACTAAAAACCCGGCCACCCGAGTTTGAATCCCGCTCACGGTCAACACCGGTGACGATGATTTGAACCGGTCCTGGGCCTCCCCTAGGTCGACTCAGTCTCAAAATAAGTACCCGGTGCAGTGTGTAATAAACATCGCCACTGGGGAGACAAAGGCGGCCGGGCGTGGTGTTGGCCATCCACCCCCTCAAGAGCCATGCCAACCTTCATAGATGCTGCTATTCGCTAACAGCAACTGCCCCAACAGTCTGTTAGGGCGATATGGGGGATCTTTGTCTTTGCTTTTTTGTGTATATTGTTTTGCATGTGATTTAGTGGTGATTCAGATGAAGGTGGAGGGGTTACCAGCCCCTTGAGCGCCACGAGGTGCATCATCATCAATAAATCTCTGCTGTTAAGAACCCCCTACCACCTGACGCAGCCAAAACTAATGAAATAGTGTGTGTGTCTGAGTGGGTCATGGGGAAGTTGTGGAGAGTTTATCATACCTGGGCAGTATGCTCATGACTGCCTCTGGTTTAACAGCAGAGGTCTCACTCCGAATCAGTCGAGCGGCATTATCTTTTCATCGGTTGCGTAACGCTGTGTGGACGCTACCTGGTCTATCGCTCCGCACGAAGCTTCAGGTCTTCTCAGCCACAGTCATGCCCTCCCTTCTCTACGCTTGTGAAACACCTCTAATGGAACATCTTCGCTGGTTAGAAACATTTAGGCTGGTCTGCTTATGATCCATTCTGGGTTTCACCAGGCTGGATTGTGTGAGGAGCTCACAAATCCTAGAAAGATCTGGGCAAAGTCTCATCGGTGAGTTCCTCCGGCAGGCAAGGCTGCGTTGGCTGGGTCATGTAGCCCGCATGCCCAATCACCGCATGCATAAACAGCTTTTGTTCGGCAGGATAGAGGGGGCTAAACAGGTGCAGCACGGGCTAGAAAAGAGATGGAGTGACGTGGTACAGGAGGATGTGGAGCTGATTGGACTTACCGATGACTGGTACCAGCGGTGTCAAGATCGGCCTCTGTGGAGGAGACTCGTGAAGGACGCTGCTGGGCAGTTTGAGGCAGTCGCCCTCCAACAACAACAGAGGGCGGAGGAGCGACGCTCACAACAACGAGCGGAGCACCGGGTGGCTAAAGCACAGCAAATTGGCACAGTAGGGGGCACAGGTGGTGCATCAGCCAGTCATCTCAGTCATCTCTGTCAGTCGACCCGTGGCACCTGGGTCTGCCCCGTGACCTCCTGCCAGCGGGCGTTCGACACTTCACGTGGCCTCAAGGTACACATAGCCTGGCAAAGCGTCGTGGTGACGTCACCGCCACTTAGTGGTGAATGGCGGTTGTTGTTGTCTGTCTCCAAGAATGCAATGCCGCGATTCACAAGCGCTGCATCGACATTGTACTGGCGAACTGCACGGGCTCAGCGGAGAACAGCAGCGAAACTCAGGTGAGCAATGGGCAGGTGAGCAATGGGCAGGTGAGTGACACCAAGGCGAGGGACACTCAGGTGAGTGACGCATATGAATTGTCCAGTGCGGGCCTCGTGTGATGATGACAAACAATGACGATGGCGACGAAGATAACGATGACAATGGCGATGACGATGATAACGACGATGACGATGGTGATGATAATGGCGATGATGACGACGATGGCGATGACGATGACGACGGCGATGACGATGACGACGATGATTATGGCAATGATGATGATGATGACTATGACAATGATGATAATGACAATGATGACGATAATAATGATGATGGCGATGAAGATGGCGGCAATGATGACAACGACGATGACGACAATAGCGACGATGAAGATGACGATATCGGTGGTGCCGATGGTGACGACGATGATGACGATGATGTCGGTGGCTCTGGAGATTGCAATGTTGACGTTGGCGTTATTGTTGATACTAGCATTGTTGTTGACGTTGGTGTTCTTGTTGATCTTGGCATTGTTGTCAACGTTGGCGTTGTTGACGTTGGCGTTGTTGTTGCCATTGGCGTTGTTGTTGTTTAACGTTGGTATTGCTGTTGTTGATGATTCCGATGGCGCCGTCTCAGATCATGAAGGAGCGCTTCAAGCTGGACGTCCCCCACCGCTTCCGCGTAAACTCCTACATGAGCCCCACGTTCTGTGACCACTGCGGCACGCTGCTGTGGGGCCTGGCTCGCCAGGGCCTGAAGTGCGACGGTGAGATAAACTAAACACTCAAGGATGCTTTATTTCACCAGGTAAGGTCCACCGAGCTATGTAGCTCTTTTGTCAGAAGCGACCTGGCTATCACAAACGATAGCTCAGCAGAGTGTCTTATCATGATCACGTGAAAATATATTGCAGCAGCCAAATACTCTAAAACACGTGACATCCATTCTAAATGTGGAGGGAAAAACCGGATCCGGAGAAAAATCCACATGACCACGAGGAGAGAGACATGCAAACTCCAAATATACAGCAGGCGTCAGGGTCGGGATCGAACCCACGACCTCCTTGCATACTAGGCGAGGTAGTTCACATGTCGCCAGATAGGCAGGGGTGGGGGGGGGCACCGGTGCCAGCCAACGGGAGAGAGCGAGGGGGTGCAGCACCAGTCGGGTCATCCGATTTTTCCCTCCACATTTAGAATTAACAGAATTAATAACAAACGTTTGGCTGCAAAAATAATTCCACGTAATGATGATAAGCCGCCACTTCGTAGGGCTATCACTTGTGACAGCGAGGTAGTTTCTGAAAATGAGCGACATAGCTCGGTGGGCCTTACCTGGTAAAATAAAAAATAGTTTGTAGTTAAGTTAGTTAAACCATATCCTCTGTCTGTAAAACACAGCCACATCCTCTGTCTGTGAAACACAGCAACGCCCTGTGCTATAAGTACGATACTGATGATGCTGGTGATGTTAATGGTGATACTGGTGATGATATTGCTGGTGATGTTGGTTGTCTTTGTGTACAGAGTGTGCCATGAATATCCACCACAAGTGCAAGGGCAAGGTCGCAAATCTGTGCGGCATCAACCAGAAGCTCATGGCAGAGGCCCTCGCTCAGATAGAAGCTCAGCAACAGGTATGTGGAGGAGGGACACGGACAGAGACGCGACACAGACGGAGAGACACAGACATGGAGACACAGAGAGAAGCAGAGACACGGATAGACACAGACAGATAGACAGAGATAACGAGACACACACAGATTGATAGAAAGACAGATAAATAGAAGGACACATACAGAGAGACACGGACAGAGACATGGAGATACAGAGATAGATGCAGAGAGACCAATAGACACAGACAGACAGAGATAAATAAACAAATAGACACAGACAGATTGACGAAGATAGATGGAGAGACAGAGAGCCTGAGACACATAGAGAGAGACACAATAGAAAGACACAGACAGAGAGACATGAACAGTGACACAGACGTAAAAACATACATTTTCAGGGAGATATTCACGGGAGAGACAGAGAGACAGACACAGAGAGACGTACAGTACATACATGCAAGCAAAATTGCACGACTGTATTCAGTTACAGGCATGCAGATATAAAAAAGACACAGATCCCCCGTATAGCCTTAACATACTGTTGTGGCAAGTGCTCTTTGTGAGCAGCACCAATGAAAGCCGGCATGGCACACGAGGGGGTGGGTGGCGCCACACCCTGCCTCCTGGTGGCGATGTTTACACACCGCACCAGGTACTCATTTGAGGCTGAGTCGACTTAGGGAAGGTTCTAGACCAGTTTAGATAATTGGTGGCCGTGAGCGGGAATCCATCTCGGGTCACTGGGTTCATAGCGCATTGCGCTAACCACTACACTACCGTCACTCACAACAACAGCCACCAATCGTCACTAAATGGCGGTGAAGTAAGCACGGCGATTGTGCCAGGCTAGGTGCACTTTGAGGCACGTGAAGTGTCAAAGGCTCATTGGCAAGAGGTGACAGAACAGACCCAGGTGCCATGGGCTGACTGAGATGACCAGCCGATGCACCACTTGTGCCCCCTACTGTGCCAACTTGCTGTGCTTTAGCCACCCGCGCTGCGCTCGTTGTTGTGAGCGTCGCTTCTCTGCTCTCCGTTGTTACTGGAGGGCGATTGCCTCCAACTGTCCGGTAGCGTCCTTCACGAGCCTCCTCCATAGAGGCTGGTCTTGACACCGCAGGTTCCAGTCATCGGCAAGTCCACTCAGCTCCACATCCTCCCGTACCGCATCAGTCCATCTCTTCTCTACGTCTTGTCGTGCCCGTTTAGCCCCCTTTATCTGGCAGGGGCTGGGCATGCAGGCTACATAAACCAGCCAAGCCTTGCCTGCCGGAGGAGCTCACCAATGAGACTGTGTACAGATATTTCAAGGATTTGTGAGCTCACACAATGTATATGTGTTAACGTTTTTTTTGCACCGCATGTAGCCAACCGTGCTAATTGGAGACGTGGGGGGAGGACAACAAATTAAACATAATAAAACAGTTCTAAAGAAATTAGTTGTCAATCTAGATGATTTAAAAGTGCATCGCTCCGGTGACTTCCTCATATTGGAAGGAAGAGCATTCCAGGTGGCTGCATAAGTGCACCTGAAAGAGTGCGATGCGGTGACCGTCTTTGATCTATTGTTAGCCAAAAAATACAGCCTGGTTAAATCCAGGATGGATCATTGACAGGCCAGCCTCAATGTTTCAAACCGGTGCAGGTGTTCGATTAGAGGAGTCCACATTTTGCAAGCATAGAGAAGGGAGGGCATGAATGTGGCTGAGAAGACCAGAAGCTTCGTGTGGAGTGACAGACCAGGTAGCTTCTACACAACGTTACGCAGCCGATGAAAAGATAATGCCGCTCGACTAATTTGGAGTGAGACCTCTGCTTGCAAACCAACCCGGTCATGAGCACACTGCCCAGGTACAGAGACTTCTCCACTCTCTCCACAATTGCCCATCACTCACGGAGAGACACATACACAAGGAAAACATGCAGAGGGACATAGACACAGAGACGCACCGGAAAATACAGAGAGACAAAGACTCATGCTTAAATAAAGATACAGACATAGGCAGAGACAGCATTAAGTTCCCGCTCACGGCCAACATCGGTGGTAAATATCCACACCCGTAATCGGCCTTCCCTAGGTTTACTCAGCCTTAAACGATTTGCTGGTGTGGTGTGTATAAGACATCAGCACCAGGAAACCAGGGTGGCTGAGTGGCTGTGGTGGGGGCCACACTACCCCCGGTAGGGGCAAGTCCTGGGTGCCATGGTGGCTAGGAAATGTTAACTACCTCGCCTGGTATGCAAGAGGTCGTGGGTTCGATCACTACCCTAGCGCCTGCTGTACATTTGAAGTTTGCATGTTTCTCTCCCCGTGGTCACGTGGATTCTTCTCCGGGTCCTCCGGTTATTTTCCTCCACATTTAATATCACGCTTTTAGAGTATTTTGGCTGCTAGTGATTTCCACGTGAGGATGATAAACCGCCACTTCGTTGAGCTATAATTGTGATGGCCATTTCACTTCTGAAAAAGAGCTACACAGCTCAGTGGGGCCTTACCTGGTAAAAAAGATATATGAATAGTTAAGTTTTAGCTAAATACTAACAGCTTGTGTGTGCTACATAGTGGACCTTTATCTGTGTGTGTGAGTAGGTGCGGAAGGAGCGGAACAGCGTGTGCCTGGGGCCTAGCGGGGTAGAGGCTGGCCATGGTGGTTGTGATGCTGCTACATTCGCTGGGCCCTGCCCCTCAGCTCCCCCGCTGGCGGAACTCTCCGGAGCCTCCGATTTCGGTGCGAACACAAAAATACACAGAGGCAACGACGCGTGTCCCGGTCGATGTCAACTTGTCCCACTCGTCTGGCGACAGGAGTACCTGAGCAACGAAAGGGATGCTCGGAAACATCATCTTCATCGTCATCATCGTCGTCATCGTCGTCATTGTCATCATCGTCGTGATTGTCATCATCGTCATCATCGTCGTCATTGTTGTCATCGTCATCATCATCGTCATTATCATCATCATCGTGGTCGTCATCGTCATCATCCTCGTCATCATCATCATTGTCGTTATCATTGTCGTCATTGTCTTAATCGTCGTCGTCATCATCATCATCATTATTGTAATTTCCGTCATCATTGTCATCGTTGTCATCGTTGACTTTATTGTCATTGTTATCATCATTGTCATCATTGTTGTCATCGTCATCATCATCATCGTCGTAGTTGTGACATCATTGTCATAGGGTCAGGGTTTGTGAACATACCTCACTCATCGACTCATTTCTTTATTAAGTGACTCCAGTTACTCATAATTGGCGTCAAACATGCACACACACGTGGACATGATCATGTTTTTTTGGTTTGTTTAATACATGCTGCAACAGGTACTCATTTAAGGCTGAGTTGACCTAGGGGAGGTCCAGGACCATGGCCGGTTTGGATATTCATCGCCAATGTCGAGCGTGAGTAAGAATATAACTCAGGTTATCGGGTTTTGTAGTGCGCTAACTAGTGCACCACCACTCCAACAACAACAACAACAACAACCGCCATTCGCCATGAAGTGGCGGTGACGTCACCTAGATGCTTGTGCCAGGCTATGTACACGTTGAGGCCACGTGAAGTGTCACGAGCCTCCACCACAGAGGCCAAACTTGACACCGCTGGTACCAGTCATCAGCAAGTCTACTCAGCTCTACATCCTTCGGTACCACATTACTCCATCTCTTCTCTAGCCCGTGTCGCGTCTGTTTAGACCCTCTATCCAGCCGAACAAAAGCTGTTTAGGCATGCGGTGGCTGGGCATGCAGGCCACATGACCCAGCCAATGCAGCCTTGCCTGCCGGAGGAGCTCACCAATAGGACTTTGTTCAGATCTTTCAACGATTTTTTAGCTCCACACACAATCCAGCCTGGTTAAACCCAGGATGGATCGAAGGCACGCAAGCCTAAATGCTTCTAACCAGCTAAGATGTTGCATTAGGGGGGTCCACGTTTCGCAAGCGTAGAGAAGGGAGGGAATGACCGTGGCCGAGAAGACCTGAAGCTTCGTACGGAGCGACAGACCAGGTAGCTTCCACACAGCGTTACGCAACCAATGAAAAGATAATGCCACTCGACTGATTAGGAGTGAGACCGCTCCTGTCAAACCGAAGCCGGTCATGAGCACACTTCCCAGGTATGGGAAACTCTCCACTATCTCCACAACTGCCCCATCACCAATTGGGAGTTGTGAGGGTGGAGTGTCTGATGGCACAAAATACCCAGGCAGGTGCTTAGTTTTGGTGGGGCTGATGGTAAGGCCCTTCCTCTTAGTGGCAATCTCCAGGTTCAGCAGCAGCACCTCCAACTCCTCCTCTGAGTGAGCAGCAATTTCCAGATCATCGGCATACATAATGTGGTTGACCAATAGGGAACCATCCCTTGCCCACACCCAGGCATCGATCAGCCTCCCATTGTATCTGTACCAGATGGAAATTTCTCTGGTACAGCCATCGAAGGCTTCCCGAACTACATGGTCGAAAAAGATGTTAAATAATGTAGGAGCCAGAGGACATCCCTGTCGCATTCCAATGTGAACAGAGAATCGCTCTGATTCCCGGTCACGTAGTGTTACCTGGGCCCGCGCACCATCATGAAGATCCTTAATGATCGTGAGCAGTGGGTCAGGGACTCCGAAAGCACGAAGAAAACCCAGAGCCCATTCTTCCAATCCTGCAGAACCCGTCCACTGGTCGAGACTGTTGTTATGATGCCATGTAGGGCAGTCTGTGAAAAAACGCCACCCTCCCTCAGCATTTGGCTTGGGAGATCATCTCTGCCCAGTGCCTTTCCTGGTCTCAGATTCTGTATCGCTTTCAGTACTTCCTCAACAGATGGCACCTCAGCCAGACACTCACAGGGGGTGACTTCTTCTTCCAATATTTGAGATACCGCAGCCTCAGCAGGGTCATCCCCACTTTGTACCATGATTTTTCCAGGCTGAGCGATTTCCCTTCCCCCAGGACCTCACAGAAATGCTCAGCAAATCCGCAAACCTGTTCTTGAGGTCGGAGATTAGATCACCGTTCTTTCCCCTAATGATGGTAATATGTGTGCTACTGCAGGTTACTTTTTATGAAGTTAAATAGCGATTTGTGAGGGCGGGCCATTGAGGCAGATTCCATCTCCTCAGCAACCCACGGCCACCACCCATCCTTGCAGTGCCTCACGGCTCTCCGAACCTCTGAGCGAAGGCTGCGGTAAGCCTCCTCATTCTCTGATGTGGGATGCTGTAGACGATGAGAGTGGGCCTGTTGCTTTTTCTCAGCCAGCCTAAACACCTTCTCTTTTTCTTGGTTCTTTCGGTAAAGTCACATAAAAGGGAAACAATAAAATAATAAAATATAAAACAATAAGATTCTCACGACGTTTCGACTGCAACACAAGCAATCATCATCAGGTATGAAAACCACAGCAAGAAAATTTGAAAAAAGTGGCGTTTTTTAACGTTAGCACCACAGAGAGCGATTTGGCAGTTATTCAGATGGACGAGTCCATCTATGTTCGGAAAAGAGGAGGGGGGAGATGAAAATAATGGATGTGGTCTGAAAGCCACCGTAAGCGTGAACAATCAAGACACGAAATGGTTTATCAAATCCTTCCAATGATTGCTAAGCCAGAATCCATCTTCTCGGTTGAAATTGTCTCTGTGTTTGTATATGTTTTATGGCCTCATGAACGAATCTCTCATGGTAGCCAGATGGCTTGTAGAAAACCTCTGTCTTGGAGAAGTCAATGTCATGTGAGCCTACTGAATTATAACAGTGATCTGCCATGGCCGAGGTGTTGGTCCTACCGTGTTTTAGGTCTGCTTTGTGTTCACGGATGCGGTCCGAGACATGTCATTTGGTTTCTCCAATGTAGCTACTACTACAGAGGCAACTTAGTTTGTAGACGCCAGGGTACTGTATGTCCGGAATCACATATTTTACAGACGGTACCAGATCACGGATTTTATGTAATGTGTTGAATCGGATCTGGGACTTGTGTTCATTCAAGATTTTAGAGATATTTTTTGTGATCCCTGCAAAGTAGGGTTAAGTGATGGTTTTGAATGACTGCCACTCTGCGCCCAACCTCATGGAAGATGTACGTGGATGACACTTTTGTCATCTGGCGACAGAGCTTCAAACGTGTCGTCCCGACAGGTTTGTTCCTTTCACCTGAAGAAGGCCACTTGTTTTGTGGCCGAAACGTCGTGAGAATTTTATTGGTAATTTATTTTATTATTTTATTATTTTATTCTCATTCTACGTGACTTTACCGAAAGAACCAAAGAAGATGAATCCTTGCAGTCATGAAAGCTTTACATCGAAATTCATGAGAGATTCGTTCATGAGGTTATCCACATACACAGAGACAATTTCAACTGAGAAGATGGATTCTGGCTTAGCAATCATTGGAAGGATTTGATCAACCATTTCGTGTCTTAATTTATTGTTCACGCTTATGGTGGCTTTCAGACCGCATCCATTATTTTCGTCTCCCCCCTCCTCTTTTCCGAACATAGATGGACTCGTCCATCTGAATAACTGCCAAATCGCTCTCCGTGGTGCTAATGTTAAAAAAACGCCGCTTTTTTCAAATTTGCTTGCTGTGATTTTCACACCTGATGATGATTGCTTGTGTTGCAGTAGGAACGTCGTGAGAATTTCATTGTTTTATATTTTTATTATTTTATTGTTTCCCGTCTACGTGACTTTACCGAAAGAACCAAGAATATGAATCCCTGCAGTCACAAAAGCTTTAAATAAAAATTTAACCTCCTCCTCTGTCAGCAAAGGTCTCTGGGGAGGTCTGGACCATGTATCCAAAGCAGCCATTGCAGCTGCATGAGCCACTGTCCTAAACCTCGCCCATTTCCCCTCGACATCTGGAGGAGTGGGGGACGATGCCAACCCCAGCCACAAGCGATGATAAAATTCTCGTTTGCAACTGTCATCAGCTAGCTGAGACCAGGGCACTTTGGTGTTGAATGCGGTCCTGAGTGTAAACCCACCACCGGAGTGGAAGAATGGCAGGCACATCTTACAGATGACATGTTGATGATCAGTGGTCAGATCAGCTCCACGGTAGGTCCTGGTTTCAAGGACATGGGCCCGCATCCGCTGTTCCGTCACTATGTAATGCAGCAGATGTTCTTGCTTGGACCCGGCATGCATCCATGATGTTGTGTGGATGTGCCAATGCCTTAACAGTATGTTGGTAATCACAAGCCCATGGGCTCCATAAAAATCTAGCAGTCTCCTACCGTTGTTATTGAGCTGATCTAGCCAATGCCTTCCAATCACTCCAGACCAAGTGCCAGCATCATGACCTACTCGGGCATTGAAGTCTCCCAACAAGATGACTCTATCCCGAGGGGCCATTTTAGCTAGCACCTGTGACAGGAGGTCATAGAAGGCATCTGACTCATCAGTCTTGGCTGCATGTCTCCTCGGATGTTCGTCTTCGGTGGGGGTATGAGTAACCACGAACACCACTCCTCGCCTCCAGTTGATGCGAAGGCGGGCCCAAAAGAGCCTGGGACCTACTGCTTCCCACACCTCACCACCACGCTCCCATGCCCCCTTCATTCTTTTGTTCAGAAGACAAGCCACTCCCTGTTGTTTGGCAGTCTCCTGCCACGGGGAGAGGACTTTCCACCCCTCATGATTGCAGGAGCCAGAGCCAGTCCGCTGGAACTCCTGAATACCACAGAGATCCAGACGGTACTGGTCCAGCTCCCGACAGAGGAGTGGCAGCCTCTCCTCCGCAATGAGCATTCCAACATTACATGTGGACATCCAAGTGGTTTTTTGTTGCTTCTGGAGGAGCCCTGAGCGTAAGAATTCAGTCTCCTGGCTCCGCCAAATGGGATCTGGCTAGGAGACGTTATAGACGCCTGTCGCCCCGGGGTCTCCGGCACCAGCTTAATTAGATATTTTATATGTGGTTTTGTGGTAATGAATTGAATGTGAAGGGATTACCAGCCCCTCGCACTCGTTTAGAGCCCCCATTTGGCCTCTGTGGTGGTTACAAACGCCATGAGGGGAATGACCAATCTAAATTGGCTCTCCCCCCCACGGCACTGCTCACCACAGCGTTGCTGTCCGGCACCAACGAGGAGGTACACACAGACACACACACACGTACGCACGTACACACACGAGTGTGTAGTTGTTATTGTGACCTGCAGAGCGGTAGCACATTGTTAAGTGCTCCACGCTATGCACCCAGCAATCCGAGTTTGATTCCTGCACGTGGCCATCAACGGTGACAGCGAACATAGGAACTGGACCTGGGCCTCCCCTCGGTCGACTCAGCCTAAAATTCTGTACCTGATGGTGTGTGTGGATATCAGCACTCCGGAGACAATAAAGGTGGCCGGACGTGGTGCTGGCCACCCACCCCCTCGTGTGCCATGCCGGCCTTCATAGGTGCTGCCATTAGGTATAACTCTGGTCGCCAAGATTACATTGTTAGCTTAAATTGAACAATATATCTTATCTGCTGGGACACTCAATGGTGGAGCGGGCAGCTCTCAGTGATCGCAAGGTCATGAGTTCAACTCTTGGTTATGGGGGGGGAGGCGGGGGGGTGACTTCAGCCCATCGTCCATCCGTTGCACCCTCCAGGGGTCGATAAATTGAGCGCAACTTTGTATGGGGGAGGGGATCAACAAACACCATTGCGCCGACTCCGCTCATCCTCGCAGCAGCAGCAGCAGCAGTGGCGGCTTTTGGCTGAGCCATCAAAACAAAGACGGTAGTCACCGCATCGTCGCGCGGCACTTTCAAATGCGCTTCTGTGGCCGTCTGGAATCCTCTTCCCTTTCGATATTAAGAAACCACAGGAGCCATGCACTTTTAAATCATCATCTATAATCAAAACGCTTTTCTTTAGAACTGATTTTAGTGTTTAATTTGTTGTCCTTTCCCTGACACCCCCAATTAGCGCAGTGGGCTATGTACGGTGCGAAAGAAGTTCAACGCACAGTACATAGCACATCAGTGGTCGTCCGTCCTATGAAGACGCTTAATTGGCCACCGCCATAGGAATGTGGAATAACCAGATCTGGCTCTGCGGGGTGGGCTGAGACGAGGAAATGAGCACCACAGCACCTCAATGGAGCTCATCTGAGCAGGCAGGAAATCAGTGTAGCTTTAGATAATTAAATAAACAACCGGTAACAGTTCAGGCAATGGGCCCACTTCATGATGGCACATGCCATAGATAGCTTTACCATTCATTTGTTTTAATCACTGGTGCCCCCCACTCCCAACCCACCCCACCCCCTCCCCATGTCCCTCTATCCCTCTCCCCCACCGCCCCGACTGTTGCAGACCGCTCGCAGGTTTCCTGGGAGGGCCCCATCGTGGGCCCCCAGGGCAGCCGCCAACCCCAGCCACGGCAACAGCCTCCTGGCAGCCGGGGGTCAGGGAGCCTCCATGGTCCCCCGCGCCTGTCCCCCTCGGACTTTTCCTTCATCAAGGTGCTGGGCAAGGGCAGCTTTGGAAAGGTGCGTGGCGGTTCATTCATCCACTCATTCACACGCTCAAATCGCTTGCTCAATTGTTCGCTCTATCGCTCACTCGCACATTCACGGAGTCGCTCGCTCAGTCCTTCGTTCACTCCTTCGCTCGATCGCTCACTCGTGCATCCACGGCGTCGCTCGCTCAGTCGTTCCTTCGGTCATTTGCTCAATCGCTCACTCGCTCATTCATGGAGTCGCTCGTTCAGTCCTTTGTTCGGTCGTTCATTGGATCAATCACTCACTCGCTTAGTCACGGAGTCGCTCTCTCAGTCCTTTGTTCGGTCATGGGCTTGATCGTTCACTCACTCATTCATGGAGTCGCTAGCTCAGTCCTTCATTCGCTCATTGGCTCATTCGTTCACTCGCTCATTCACGGAGTTGCTCACTCAGTCCTTCATTCGGCCATTTGCTTGATCACTCATTCGCTCAGTCCTTTGTTCACTCATTGGCTCAATCGTTCACTTGCTCATTCATGCAGTTGCTTGCTCAGTTCTTCGTTCATTCATTGGTGCGATCGCTTACTCGCTCAGTCCTTTGTTCACTTGTTGGCTCGATCACTCACTCACTCATTCATGGAGTCGCTGGCTCAGTCCTTCATTCAGTCGTTAGCTAGCTTGATCACTAAGTCATTTAGCCCTGAATTAACACCAAATAAATATTAAATATTCCCAAACACAATTGTCGGCATTTGCAGAACAAGCGTGCTAGTACTGGCCAAGACTAATTAGGGAATCTATCGAAATTGAGAAAAGTAAAAATAATTGTAATCCTTCTGATAGCTACACGATTAGTGCTACTTGGAAGCGAATTATTAAGTAATACAATGATTAACTGCATGCCTTTACAGGTCACCAACGTGGTTGATGGTAATTAACTGTGAACAGCCAATAATAGGAACTGTGTAACCTGTTCATACGCTTATAATTAACATAATGTACATAATGATTTGAAGCTTTCGTGACTGCAGGAATCCATACTATTTTGTTTTTTCGGTAAAGTCACATAGGTAGAAAAATAATAGATCATGACGTTTCGATCGCAACACAAGCAATCGTCATCAGGTGGGACAACCACAGCAAAAAGAAAATACTGCTGAAGTAGGTGAGAGATCTACCGTGGCATGAGGTTATATAGTAGGCCTCGGTAGTAGGGGGGGGGGGGGGGGGGGGGGAGAGGAGGGGGGGGGAGAGAGGAGGTGGGGCAGAAAGTGGACTCCGGGGCAGTACTGGGAGAGATCTGAGAGATCGGCGGCAGGTGGGGAGGGAGAAGGGGGGGGGAGGAGGCGGGGCAGAAAGTGGACCCCGCGGCAGCACCCGGGTCACTGGAGTAGAGATCGGAGAGAGATGCACAAAGAAAGGGAGAAAGGCACAGAGAGAGTCAGATATAACAGCTGACATAGGCAGGTAGGATTGAAACATCACAGTCGGTTAAGACTTTACCTGGTTGATAACGTCCTTCCAATGATTGTTCAGTTTGTACCCATCTTCTCGGTTGTAGTTTGTCTATGTTTATATATCTGGGTAGCTTCATGAACAAATCTCTGATAATAGCCGGTGGGTTTGCAGAGTACCTTCGTCTTGGAAAAGTCAATTTCGTGTGAGCCAACAGCGTTAAAACAATGATCAACAACGGCAGAGGTATTGGTCCTACCGCTGAGTGACAACATCAACATTTATCCCAGCCCGTCTATTTAAGACCAAAACAGGAGGAGTATTTCTCCACAGCTCTCTGGCTGTCGCCTAATGAAGCCAGTTTGTTGTAATTACCGACAAAATGTCACCGGGAATGTTGTATTGGGTTTACTCTCCAACACACAACAGGTTAGTGCTGAACTAGTTACTAATTGGCATGTTTTGTTACTAATTGGTTGTGTAGGGTGGTGGCAGGTTTAATGACACAAGCACATGTACAAAGGGGCTGTGTGCACGCGAGTGGATTCACAGAGGGGCTGTGTGCACGCTAGCGCATGTTCAGCGGGGCTGTGTGCACGCGAGTGCATGTACAGAGGGGCTGTGTGCACGCGAGTGGCTGCGCAGGTAATGCTGGCGGAGATGAAGGGCCCGCGGAGCCCGGTCGCCACGTACTTTGCCGTCAAGGTCCTCAAGAAGGACGTGGTGCTGATGGACGACGACGTGGAGTGCACCATGATCGAGAAGAGGGTGCTGGCCCTGGCCTGGGAGCACCCCTTCCTCACCCACTTGTGTGGCACCTTCCAGACCAAGGTGCCACCCACCCACCCATTCACTCACCCAGCCACTCACCCCTTCCTCACCCATCTGTGTGGCACCTTCCAGACCAAGTTGCCACCCACTCATTCACCCAGCAACTTACCCAACCACTCACCTCGCCACTCACCCAGCCACTCACTCACCCAGCTACTGAATTCCTTCCTCACCCACCTGTGTGGCATCATCCAGACCAAAGTGCCACCCACTCAATTGCCAACCTCACCTCACCGAACATATCCACCCACCAACCCACCCAGGCAGCCAACTGCTCACCCACCGCTCCACCCATCCACCCACCCACTCGCCTACCCAGCCGCTCACCCACCCCTCCCCTGGCCACGTCCTCTTATGGGTATGGGGAGAGCTAAAGTAAAAACTATTTTTTATGTCCCTAGGTAAGGTCCAACTGAGCTATGTTCCTTTTTTCAGAAGCGACCTGGCTATCCCAAATAATAGCTCAACAAAGTGATGGCTTACTCTTTGGTTCTATTGGGTAAAGTCACGTAGGTAAAAAATAAAATGACAAAAATCACGACGTTTCGGCCACAACACAAGCGGCCTTCATCAGATGAAGGGACGAGACTGTCTGGAGGACAGCGCTGGAGTGAAAAAAGCCACGCTCAGATCACGACCTCACTCCAGTGGCCAGTAAGCTTAAAGGTCGTGATCTGAGCGTGACTTTTTTCACTCCAGCGCTGTCCCTTCACCTGATGAAGGCCGCTTGTGTTGTGGCCGAAACGTCGTGATTTTTGTTATTTTATTTTTTACCTACGTGACTTTACCCAATAGAACCAAAGAGTATGGATCCTTGCAGTCACGAAAGCTTTAAATCTAGAAAAGTGATGGCTTATCATCAAGTGGAAATATATAGCAGTGACATACTCTAGAAATGCATGTTTCATAATGTGGAGGGAGAAAAATCCACACGACCACAGGGAGAGAGAGACACACCAAATATACAGCGGGCATCAGGATTGGGATCGAACCCACGACCTCCTGTATAGCAGGCAAGTTAGTTAACATCTCCTAGCCACCGTGGTGATGATGAGAGACAGAGACACGCAAACTTCAAATATACTTAGAGCAGGCGTCAAAGTCGGAATCGAACCCACGAGCTCCTGCATCGGGGCTAGCCGCATGTGTCCCCATGGAGCCTACCACGCGCGCTCCCTCACGTCTGGCGGTGTTGCACGCAGGAGCACCTGTTCTTCGTCATGGAGTACCTCAACGGCGGAGACCTCATGTTCCACATCCAGGAGAAGGGGCGCTTTGACCTACCCCGGGCCACGTACGTCATTAGCACAATCATTATCACAATCATCATCACAATCCTCATCATCACCATAATCATCACAATCATGATCACAATCATCATAAGCAGCACAATCATCAGCACAATCATCATCATCATTCTAAACTCATGCCCAGTGGCAGCTGTCCCTGTGCATTAGTCTGCCAGTGGTGGGGCGAGATGATCAACTGCTTTGTGCCAAACCCAGGTGAGTAATTTACGATGTGATTTTTTTTAAATTTGGCAAATTTAAATATATAACATGAACCTGGGTTGCACCCACTCCCTGGGGGTGCGAGATGCCCTTTCTGGCGGTGCGAGAGATGGTCAGATTTACTTTTAGACGGTAAATCATCGAAACACAAATTAAGCACAGGCCATGTAAGTACAACTATTTTGTTTAATCAACCCTATGTATTTATTAACATTTTTACGACTTAGAACCAAAGGGGTGCAAGGCTGCAATACATGCAGTGTGAGTGTTGTTCAATCCGATGCTCGCTCGCTCGCTCACTCAGACCTCACTGTGCTTCTGGAGAGAGAGGCCTTCCGTGCGGAGGATTGATCTCCCAATCTCTCTCTCGCTGTCTCACAGATTCTATTCTGCTGAAATCATCTGTGGCCTTCAGTTTCTGCACTCCAAAGGCATCATCTACAGGTGGGCACCAACGCGCGCCATCAGGGACTCCTTCCTAGCTCAATCACCCATTCATCTATTCACTCACTTGTTCACTCACTGTGTCACTCATCCCCTCATGCATTCATTCACTGACTCACTCGCCCGCTCATTAATTTACTCATATTCTTTGGGTTTTTCGGTAAAGTCACGTAGATAAGTTCAAAGAAAATAACAAAATAACGGTAGTTTTTTGTTATTTTGTTATTTTCTTTGAACTTATCTACGTGACTTTACAGAAAAACCCAAAGAATCTGAATTCCTGCAGTCACGAAAGCTTTAAGTCATTGATTTACTCACTAATTCATTTACTGAAGCACACACTCACTCACCATTCATTCACTCACTCGCCACTTACTGAAATGCAAAAAATTACTTACTCATGAATTGGCTGGTAAAACCTTAATTAGCAGAAGATTGCAGAACTTGGGCATTAGTTAGTAGTGCCGGCTCCTCACTAAGTCGCTGCTGCTGCAGTGTTACAAGTTGACAGTGGCATCCTCACTCACTCACTAAGTCACTCACTCACTTAGCCACCCACTCACTTAGTCACTCACTCACAAGTCACTCACTCACTTAGTCACTCACTCACTAAGTCACTCACTCACAAGTAACTCACTCACTTAGTCACTCACTCACTTAGTCACTCACTCACTAAGTTACTCACTCACAAGTCACTCACAAGTCACTCACTCACTAAGTCACTTACTCACTTAGTCACTCACACACTTAGTCACTCACTCACTTAGTCACTCATTTCCTCACCCACTCAGTCACTCACTCACTTAGTCACTCACTAAGTCACTCACTCACAAGTCACTCACTCACTTAGTCACCCACTCACTTAGTCACTCACTCACAAGTCACTCACTCACTTAGTCACTCACTCACTAAGTCACTCACTCACAAGTCACTCACAAGTCACTTACTCACTTAGTCACTCAGTCACCCACTCACTCACAAGTCACTCACTCACTAAGTAACTTACTCACTTAGTCACTCACTCACACACTTGGTCACTCACTCACTTATTCACTCATTTCCTCGCCCACTCACTTAGTCACTCACTCACTTAGTCACTCACTAAGTCACTCACTCACTTAGTCACTCACTCACAAGTCACTCACTCACTTAGTCACCCACTCACTTAGTCACTCACTCACAAGTCACTCACTCACTAAGTCACTCACTCACAAGTCACTCACTCACTTAGTCACTCACTCACTAAGGCACTCACTCACAAGTCACTCACAAGTCACTCACTCACTAAGTCACTTACTCACTTAGTCACTCACTCACACACTTAGTCACTCACTCACTTAGTCACTCATTTCCTCGCCTACTCACTTAGTCACTCACTCACAAGTCACTCACTCAATTAGTCACTCACTCACTTAGCCACTCACTCACTTAGTCACTCAATCACAATCCACTCACACACTTAGTCACCCACTCACTTAGTCATTAACTCACTCTGTAGCCCACTCACTAAGTCACTCACTCACAAGTCACTTACACACTTAGTCACCCACTCACTTAGTCACTCATTTTCTCGCCCACTCATTTAGTCACTCGCTCACTTAGTCACCCACTCACTTAGTCATCCACTTCGTTGCCCAACCGCTCGCTTAGTCACTCACTCAGTCACTCACTCAGTAAGTCACTCACTCTCTAAGTCATCCACTCAATTAGTCGCCCACTCACTAAGTCACCCACTTAGTCACTCACTCACGCGTAAACTTGCGATCGCTGCGAGCTGCTCAGTCTTAATACTGAAGTACTCGACTAGATTGAGCTGTCTGTGTCATGATTATACGGAGACAAAAATCCCCTGTATAGCCTGCAGCAGGCTGTTGAGGCATTTGCTGTTAGCGAGCAGCTGTGTGCCGTGCCGGCCTTCATGAAGCCGGCACCACACTCGCAGTGCTGAAGTTTACACACCGCACCGAGTACTCAATGTTAAGTCTGTGTCAACCTCGGGGAGGGCTCGGGACCCGGTTCAAATATGTCACCACTATTATTGGTCGTGAACAGGAATCGAAACCGGCATAACAAGTTCGTAGCGCAGTGCGATAACCACTGCGCCACCGTTCCATGTACAAAGGCAGAGAACCCCCGTGAAGCCTTAATGGACTTTTGGGACCGGCATGGTATACGAAGGGGTGAGGGGCCACCACCACGCCCACACCAGGTACTCTAATTAAGGTTGAATCGACCTAGGGGGAGGCCCATGGCCGGTTTAGATAATATAATCGTCACTGGTGTTGGCCATGAGTGGGAATTTAACTCCAGTCGCTGGGTTCGTAGCGTAGCGCGCGAACCGCTACACCACCACTCCCCACACACGAACACACAACAACAACAGCCACCATTCACCACGAAGTGGCGGTGACGTCACCACCGTGCTTGTGCCAGGCTAGGTGCACTTTGAGGCCACGTGAAGTGTCGAAGGCTCGCTGTCAGGTCAAGGGACAGACCCAGGTGCCATCGGTTGACTGACTGAGATCACTGACCGATGCAACACCTGTACACCCCACCATGCCAACCTGCTGTTTTAGCCGCCCAGCTCTGCTCGTTGTTGTGAGCATTGCTCCTCTGCCCCCCGCTGTTGATGGAGGGCAACTGCTTTCAACAGCCCAGTAGAGTCCTTCACGAGCCTCCTCCATAGAGGCCGATCTTGACACCGCTGGTACCACATCCTCCTGTACCACATCAGCCCATCTCTTCTCTAGCCCGTGTTGGGTCCATTTAGCCCCCTCTAACTGGCCGAACAAAAGCTGCTTGGTCATGCGGTGGCTGGGCATGCAGGCTACATGAGCCAGCCATTAACCGACTCTCTCTGTTGCATTGCATTACACTTCCTAATTTTACTATATTTGTTTTCTCAAACTTCCTATTTCTCTCCCTAAATGTTGCCGTGCTTGTTTGTTTATAAGTCCATTGTCTCTCCTTCGGCCGCTATGGGCAGGAAGTCCACAAAACTCTTTCATTGTTCTCTACCCCCCCCCTCTCTCTGCCCCAACCTGCCCACCTCTCTCTCTATTTAAGGCCTCGACACAGAGGCGTTGTGTGTCTCTCTCTGTGTCTCTGTGTGTGTCTCTCTCTGCTTGTCTGTCTGTCTGTCTGTGTGTCTCTGTGTCTGTGTTTTGTCTCTCTCTAAAATTTAGCAATATTTGGAAGAACGTAATCAACCAGGTAGGGTGTTGACTGTTGTGTTAACCGACTCTCTGCATTGTATTGCATTATATTTATAAGTTTACTGTGTTTAATCTTGATTTGAAGCTTTCGTGACTGCAGGAATCTATACTCTTTGGTTCTCTCGGTAAAGTCACGTAGGTATAAAATAAATCACGACGTTTCGGGCGCAACACAAGCGTCCATCATCAAGTGGGAAAGTATGATCTGCTGCGTGACTTTACCAAGCTTCCACTTCCACGGTGAACTGGATGGATGGGTTTTGTGAGTTGAGATTATTTAGAAATGGGTTCAGTGTATCTTTGCCGTGTGGCCAGACCAGCAATGCGTCTAAGTAAGTCTTCTCCACAAATCTGGCTGTCGCCTGATGAAGCTAGTTGTAATTACTGGCGAAACGTCGTACTCAGTTTGTAAATGTTGTGGCTTGGCTCTCCAACACACTGCTGTACTAATGACGAATTGGCACGTTATGTTTACGTGAAAACCCTTACTAGTGGACTGTGTCGGGTGGTGGTGGGTTTTAACGACACATTTATATATGTTTATACGCGATCTAACCCAAAAACCTCTATTATGGATGATATTGGTCGCGAAAGCCTACGTGTTAAACTTAGAGGGAACGCATTCTTTATAACGCGGATGCGAATTTGATATAACGCGATTAAGCAAACGGAACTACGTTGCAGCACGAGTCGGAACAAGCGGTCGTAATGGCTGCCTCTGCGTGGCATCGCACAACAAGGCATTGGGATGCTGCTGGATGCTTCTAGACGCTACCCACCACACGCCTCAGTGTTTGTTCGGCCCTGCGTGATGCATCTCACTCGTTATCGCGGACTGTGCTGTACACGATCTATATAAACAAAGACCTTAATCTGTATGTCTCAAAAACCTCTAGGGTACTTCCCGACGAGGTAGAAAGCTGAAATTTGGTACACAGGCAGATTTTCGGACGTAAACAACAAGGGACATTTGAAAATCCGAGATATTTCATTTTAAGTCCCCCAAATATCGATTTGAATTGCCCCATAAACATGTCTGTACCTGGTGTCATTCAAAAACCGTTCTATCTTTTATTGTTTTTGATTTATTTCGGATTCAAGCGGGTTTGAACGGAAAAAAATCCACATTGCATGATGTTCAAATCTGAATAATTCTAAAACGGTATTAAGTACATGCATTTTTGTTCTTTCTAATAAAGAACATACTCATAAAATTGAGCAGTTTCCGATGGGTCTGTCTTTAAATATAAGAAGTTCAATCAAGTCCTGAACAATACAAATGTTTGGAGTAGTTGTTAGTGTCTGATCGTAGTTAAAATGGTAAACAAAAAAAGACAGGCTTCATGAACTCGTTTATTTACAACGCTATTTTTCCCGTAACACGGCATTCTTCAGGAAAGCAACCACTAGCACCACCGTGTTATAGGAGAACAGACAGACAGACCGTGCGTGTTTTTTAATGAACCCCGGGGGAAGGGCAGCAACGATCGGCGGAGCCGGGGACTCGACCTCGCCGTGGCATCGCTCAGCAACAGTCGGTGGGCAGGAGACCCCCATCCAGCAGTGGATCAACCCTGGCCACTGTTGTCTGTCCCACGCCCTCCCCACCCCCGATGCCCCCCCTCCCCCCGCCCACCCGGCCCACCCCTAGAGACCTGAAGCTGGATAACATCCTGCTGGACCGCGACGGGCACGTGAAGATCGCCGACTTTGGGATGTGCAAAGAGAATGTGAGCGCTGAGACGCTCGCCTCCACCTTCTGCGGCACGCCCGACTACATCGCGCCCGAGGTTCGGGGGGGGGGGGTACGGGGGGCACACGGGGGGCACGGTGGGCAAGGAGGGCACGGGGGCATGGAGGGCACAGGGTGGGCACTGGGGACACACGGGGGACACAGGGGCATGGTGGGCAGGGGTGTCATGGGGGGCACGGGGGCTACCAGGGGGCACGGAGAGCACGGGGAGCACACAGGGGGCATGGGGGGCACAAGGGGGGCATGGGGGGGTGCACACGGGCCCTCTAAATGTGATGTTGATTCTAAATGTAAAGGGATAAACCGGAGGGTCCGGGGAAAAATGGGCACGACCACGGGGAGAGAGACACGCAATCTCCAAATATAGAGCAGATGTCAAGGTCGGGATCGAACCCACGATCTCCTGTGCACCAGGCGAGGGAGATAACATCTACTCGCCACCGGTGCAAGCGAGAATGACTTTGATGGCATGGGCATGCAAGGGATGAGTGATCACGATGGAGGGGTCACATAGGGGTTAAGGAAGGGTATTAGAGGGCACAGGAAGAGATGGAGGGGCGAGGAAAGAGGATGGGTGGAGGAGGTGGTTGAGGTTTTATGAGAGGAGCGAGAGGAGGCTAAGGATTTGGGACTGCTCAATATACAACGTGGTCACCATGGCCATTGTCATTGTTGACTTTCCTTGGGTTGAGCCACGTCGAATCTAGTCACGTTTGTGGTGTAAGGCCTTCCACCACTCTGTACGGCCAAACAATACACACGTGTCACTGCATGCTCATACACGCGTGTCACCGCGCATGGTCATACATGCATGTCACCACACATGGTCATATACGCGTGTCACCACACACCCTCATACACTTGTGTTACCACGCAAGCTCATAAACCAGTGTCACCGTGTACACAGATCCTACTGGGCCACCCATACGGGCGCTCGGTGGACTGGTGGGCCCTGGGGGTGCTGCTCTACGAGATGCTGGTTGGGCAGTCGCCCTTCTACGGCACCGACGAGGAGCAGCTGTTCGAGGCGATCCGCGTGCACACGCCGCACTACCCTCGCTGGCTCAGCGAGCCCTCCCGAGATATCCTCACGCAGGTGAGAGGGAGAGGTAGGGAGGGAGAGAGATCCTCACACAGGTGAGAGGGAGAGATTACTCTTTGTTTTTTTTCGGTAAAGTCACGTATAAATAAGAAATAATAAAATAACATAATAGCATACGACGTTTCGGCCACAACACAAGTGGCCTTCATCAGGTGAAGGGACCGGACTGTCCAGAGGACAGCGTTGGAGTGAAGACAGCCAAGCCCAGGTCGCGTCCTTTAATGTGTGGGGGAGGAAACAAAAAACGCCTTGACAAAGGAATTAGCATAAAATGATGTAGCATGAAATGATGTACTGGACCGGCACGGGGGGGGGCAGTTTATATAATGTTGGTGTGAAGGGAAACAAGCCGCCGTGAAAGCCCGGGATACCACCACCTGAACAAATATACTGCACAACTGAAAAACAGCCCAATGTTTGGTATGATCCAGAACATCTCTCCAATGATTGCTCAGCTTGAAACCATCCTCTCGGTTGAAATTGTGTCGGTGCCTGCAAATCTGAATTGCCTCGTGGTTAGAGGGATATAGAGAGATAGAGGCATCCTCACCCAGGTGAGAGGGAGAGAGATCATCAAACAGGTGAGAGAGACATCGGCACGCAGGTGCTAGGGAGAGAAAGAAGGAGAGTCATACTCACACAGGTGAGAGGGAGGGAGGGAGATGCATCCTCACGCAGGTGAGAGAGTCACCGTATTTAATAAATCTGCCCCAGTGTTTCACCCGCCACGCGGGAAGCATAAAACCGGCAACCTCCAGTTCGCTAAGTCCAGTGTGCCAGCACACATGGCTGATGATGATGATGCTGCTGATAATGCCGATGATTTTGAAGCTAATAGTGATGCCGACAATGATGATGCTGAGGATACTGCTGATGCTAATGATGATGCTGATGATGCTGATGATGCTTGTGCTGCAGCTGTTTGAAAGGGACCACTCTAAGCGACTCGGGGTGGTGGGGTCCATACGGATGCACGTGTTCTTCAAAACCATCGATTGGCAGGCGCTGGAGATGCGTCAGATCATTCCTCCCTTCCGACCCAAAGTGGTACGTCCCAATTTCCTCTGAGCCACACAAAGCCAAAATCCCCCATGTAGCCCACTCTGTATTTTTGGGCAAGTGCTGGTTAGTGGGTAAACAATAACAACAGCCGCCATTCGCCAATAAGTAGTGGTGACGTCACCATGGCTAGGTGCACTTTGAGGCAACGTAAAGTGTTGAAAGCCCGCTAACAGGAGGTCACGGGATAGACCCAAGTGCTATGGGTTGACTGACTGAGATGTTTGGCAGATGCACCACCTGTGCCCCATACTGTGCCATCTTGCTGTATTTTAGCCGCCCAGCGCTCGTTGTTTTGTCGTTCCTCTGCCCTCCGTTGTTGCTGGAGGGTGACTGCCTCCAATTGCCCAGCAGCGTCCTTCATGAGCCTCCTCTATTGAGGCCAATATTGACACCGCTGGCCTTACCTGGTAAAACAAAAATAGTTTAGTTTTTAGTTTATTTTTACCAGTATTCGGCAAGTCCACTCAGCTCCAGATATTCCTGCACCGCATCAGCTCCATCTCTTCTCCAGCCCATGCCGTGCCCCTCTAGCCTCCTCTATGTGGCAAAACAGAAGCTCCTTGGGCATGCGGTGGCTGGGAATGCAAGCTGCATGACCCAGCAAACAGAGCCTTGCCTTCTAGAAGAGCTCACTGATGTATTTATGTTTGTTGAACTTCCTTTGCACCGTACGTAGACAACCATGCAAAATCGGGGGTGATTCAATGATTTTTGAGCTCCTCACACAATACAGCCTGGTTGAACCCAGGGCGGATTGTAGGTAGCCCAGCCTGAATGTTTCTAACTGGTGCAGATGTTCAATAAAGAGGGATCCACGTTTTGCAAGTATAGAGAAGCGAAGGCATGACTGTGGCCTAAAAGACCCGAAGATTCGTGTGAAGTGACATATCAGGTAGCTTCCACACAGCATTGCGCAGCCAGTAAAAAGATAATGCTGCTCGACTGATTTAGTGTGAGACCTTTGCTGTCAAACTGAAGCCGATCATAAGCATACTGCCCAGGTATGGAAAACCCTCCACTCCAAACCTGCTCCATCAGCTAATGGGGAGTTAAGGGGGTCGAGTGTTTGATGGCACAAAACACCCAGGCAGGTGCTTAGTTTTGGTGGGGCTGATGGTAAGGCCCCACCTCTTTGTGGCACACTCTAGGTTCAGCAGCAGCACCTCCAACTCCTTCTATGAGTGAGCAGCAATCACCAGATTATCAGCGTATATAAAATGGTTGACCAATAGGGAGCCATCCCTTTGTAGTGTCTTCAAAAATGACTCACACTGACATGTAACAAGTCACCTGCTTACACTTTATTCACCTGTTTTTGCGCCTGTTATAGGCACTCCTATAACTATCTGTATGGTCACATATACTTAACTTCTCCCTGCTATTATCTATTCTGCACCTCACTTATCCTGCACTCAGCAGCTCTGCTCTCAGCGACACTGCACCCAGCAGCTTCGCACCCAGCGACTCCGCACACAGCGTCTTCGCACTCAGCGACTCTGCACACAGCAACTTCGCATCTCCACCGCTGCCCTCACCTACGCTCGCTCAGACCCGCTTACCCGTCTGTCCCGGGCGGGGGGTTCAGCCAACTCCCGTCCAGCGACGGCGTGAGGGTTGAGGTCCCGTTGACAGCTGGAGCGGCAGGATATCTTCACTCTTGGTTCCCGGCAACAACTCCCCTCGCTCACACACACTCCCGCTTATATCCCCCTGCTCATCCCGACTCCTCACGTGCTTCCACTTAAGGTGCCGCCAGGCTGGCGCCAGTTGTCCCATTCATCTCTTATCATCATCCCCCATTTCCCGTCTTCTAGGCACCAACCTCCGGTCACAGCGTAGCACCCCTTCGACCTCGGTTGCACCCGCTTCTCTCCTTAATGACTGGCTGTTTGTTCGTGCAAACCTCATGTTGCAACGCACACACCTGTTTGCCCTCCGTTGCACCCGCTAAACTGTGTGCACCGCGTATTTCTCTCCTCTACACCTTGACTACACCCAGGCATCTATCAGGTTGGCTATGAAAGAAGTTCAACATACAAACGTACATACATTTGCAGATGGAAAGTATTCCGGTGCAGCCATGGACATCTTCTTGAACTGTCGAAAATGATGTTAAATAATGTAGGAGCCAAAGGACATCCCTGTCACACCCCAAGATGTACAGCAAATTGCTCTGACTCCTGGCCACAAAGCTTAACCCGGCCCTTGCCCACCAACATGAAGGTCCTTAACGATTGTGAGCAGAGTCAGGGACTCCAAAAGCCTGAAGAACAACCCAGAGCCATGGCTTATTTACAGTATCATAGGCCTTGACCACGTCAATAAAGCAGAGATGTAGATCCTGTTGGAATTCCATCCACTTCTACTGTATCAGACAGACGGAGAATATGGAATCTGTGCAGGAACGCCGTGGTCTGATCCCACATTTGGGCTATGCAAACCTATTTTCAGCTTGCCTGGCAAGATGATGTTGAATAATATTTGCCAGGACCTTACCCAGCACACTGAAAAGTGAGATGCCCCTGTAGTAGTTACAGAACCCGTCCAGTGGTCCAGACTGTTATTATGATGTTGTATAGGGCAGTCTGCACAGAAATGCCACCCTCCCTCAGCAGTTCGCTTGGGATATCATCTCTGCCTGGTGCTTTTCCTGATCTGTGACTCTGTATTGCCTTCCACAATTCCTAAACAGATGGCACTTCAGCCAGCCGCTCACAGGGGGTGACAACTTATCACATTTGAGGCACCGCAGCCTCAGCAGGATCATTTCCACTTTGCTCCATGATCTCTTCTGGTCTGAGGGATTTCCCCACCCATAAGACCTCATCTGAAAAATTGTTCCTGGGGGTCGGAGATGGGATCACCTTTCTTTCCCCTAAGAATGGTGATAGGTTCGGTACTGCAAGCACATTCTTTGATGGAATTAAAGAGTGATTTGTGATCGCGAGCTACTGAGGCAGACTCCTCAGCAATCCGTGATCACCACACATCCTTTCAGCACCGCACGGCTCTCCGAACCTCCGAGCGAAGGCTGCGGTAAGCCTCCTCATTCTCTGATGTAGGATTCTGTAGACGGTGGGAGTGGGCCTGTCATCATAGATTCCTGTCCCCCCAGGGCCTCCAGCACAACCGTAGTTAAAATTTTTCCACGTAGTTTAGTGGTACTTAAGTTGAATGTAGAGGGGTTACCAGTCCCTCGCACCCGTCGAGAGTGCCCTTTGGCCACTGTGGTCGTTGCAAACACCATGAGGGGAATAGCTATTTAAAATTTGCCTCTCCCACCTCCCCCATGGCATTGCGAACCACAACGTTACCATCTGGCACCACCAGGGAGGTAGTGGGTTGTTTTTGCTGGACACACACATGCGCACACACACACGTACACACACGTGCACATTAAAGCCACCAGTGGACCCCGTGTGGCCGGGATAGTCCCACTAGGTTGACAATTCCTGGTTGGAAACCCGGGATAAATCCATGGGGTTTTCACAGAGGCCACTCTTGCGTCACCGTGCGTGACCATGCATGTGTGTGTGCGTGTCTGCGCCCGATTGGGTAGCGGTAGTGCAGCGCTCACGGTCGGCACCAGTGAGTACCTGGTACAGTGTGTAAACATCACCACTGGGGAGACAAAGGCGGCCGGGCGTGGTGCTGGCCACCCAACCGAGTATGCCGTGCTGGCCTTCATCGGTGCTACTCGTTAACAGCACGTGCCGCAACAGTTTGTTAAGACTATATGGGGATCTTTGTATATTTTCATTTATATTAGTGTATGTGCGGTGGCACAGCGTTAAACGCGCTGCCCTTCAAACCCGACGACTCGAGTTCGATTCCCGCTCTCGACCAGAAATACCAGTAAGGATTATCTGAGCCTGCCCCGGGCCTCCCTTTGATTGACTCAGCCTCAAATGAGTACCTGGTACGGTGTGTAGCAAACATCAGCAGTGTGGAGGCAAAGACGCCCGGGTGCGGTACTGCCCACCCACCCCCTGATGAGCCCGTGCCGTCCTTCATAGGAGCTACACGCTCACGGCACTTGCCTCAATAGTCTGGTCAAGGCTACACGGGGGATCTTTGTCTTTGTTGTGTGCGCCCCACCCCACTGTGTTGGCCAGAGATCGGCCAACGACTGCAGCAACTTCGACCAGGAGTTCCTAAGCGAGAAGCCGCGTCTGTCCTTTGGCAACAAGGAGCTCATCAGCTCCATGGACCAGTCGGTGTTCCATGGATTCTCCTTCACCAGCCCCATGGTGGAGACGCTGGGGGAGAAATGACATCGCCAACCTGGTCGCTCGTCAGCATGCCAGGGCCGACGGGGTTGGTGGATGGGGGGCGGGGGTGTTTAGACGATGGTGACGATGGTGGTGATGATAGTGATGACGATGGTGGTGACGATGGTGGTGACGATGGTAATGACGGTGATGACGATGGTGATGATGATGGTGGTGACGATGGTGGTGACGATGGTGGTGATGATGATGATGGTGGTGACGATGGTGGTGACTGATGGTAACAATGGTGGTGACGATGGTGGTGATGATGGTGGTGACGATGGTGGTGATGATGGTGGTGACGATGGTGGTGATGATGGTGGTGATGATGGTGGTGATGGTGGTGGTGACGATGGTGGTGATGATGATGGTGGTGACGATGGTGGTGACTGATGGTAACGATGGTGGTGACGACGGTGGTGATGATATTGGTGACTATGGTGGTGATGATGGTGGTGACGATGATGGTGATGATGGTGATGATGATGGTGGTGACGATGATGGTGATGATGGTGATGATGGTGGTGGTGACGATGGTGGTGATGATGATGGTGGTGATGATGGTGGTGATGATGATGGTGGTGATGATGGTCGTGGTGACGATGGTGGTGACGATGGTGGTGATGATGGTGGTGGCGATGGTTGTGATGGTGGTGGTGACGAAGATGGTCATGATGGTAGTGATTACGATGGTGACAATAGTGGTGATGGTGGTGGTGACGATGGTGGTGACGATGGTGATGACGATGGTGGTGACTGATGGTGACGATGGTGGTGACGATGGTGGTGACGATGGTGGTGACGAAGATGGTCATGATGGTAGTGATTACGATGGTGACGATAGTGGTTATTATGGTGGTGACAATGATGATGGTGACTATGGTGGTGATTACGATGGTGATGATGGTGGTGGCAATGGTGATGGTGGAGACGGTGGTGACGATGGTGGCGTCGCGTGCATGTGACTCACTCCATAACTGGCGCTCTCAATCACTCACTAACTCACTTAGACACCCACTCATTGACTTACTCCATAACCAACTCTCTCAATCACCCATTCATGCACCTACTGATAACCCTTCATAACCGGCTCACTCAATCACTCAATCACTCACCAACTCACTCAGTCACCCGACCAACCTGCTCACTCAATTAGCCACTCACTCAGTCACCCACACAGTTACTCACCAAGCTACTCACGAAACAGATCAGCCACTGACTCACCCACCTACTCACAGTCTATGTGGTCTGCGTGCTAGTCTATGGGGTCTCCGTGCTAGTCTATGGGGTCTCCGTGCTAGTCTATGGGGTCTCCGTGCTAGTCTGTGGGGTCTGCGTGCTCGTTTATGGGGTCTGCGTGCTCGTTTATGGGGTCTGCGTGCTAGTCTATGGGGTCTGCCTGCTAGTCTATGGGGTCTGCGTGCTAGTCTATGGGGTCTGCGTGCTAGTCTATGGGGTCTGCGTGCTAGTCTATGGGGTCTGAGTGCTCGTTTATGGGGTCTCCGTGCGCGTTTATGGGGTCTGCTTGCTAGTCTATGGGGTCTCCATTCTCGTTTCTGGGGTCTGCGCGCTAGTCTATGGGGTCTGAGTGCTCGTTTATGGGGTCTCCGTGCTCGTTTATGGGGTCTGCGTGCTAGTCTATGGGGTCTCCATTCTCGTTTCTGGGGTCTGCGCGCTAGTCTATGGGGTCTGCGTGCTAGTCTATGGGGTCTCCATTCTCGTTTATGGGCTCTGCGTGCTAGTCTATGGGGTCTGCGTGCTCGTTTGTGGGGTCTGCGTGCTAGTCTATGAGGTCTCTGTGCTAGTCTATGGGTTCTCCGTGCTAGTCTATGGGGTCTGCGTGCTAGTCTATGGGGTTTGCGTGCTAGTCTATGAGACTCCGTGTGAACCTCTAGGACCCCGTGATGGCCATATCATTCCTTATGTGCGGTGAGGCAAAGTGTGGGTACTCCCCCTGGTAGTGGAGGATGCCCTTCCGCCAGCAGGTGGCGTGTGAGCGGGGTGGTTGCAGGGCTGCGCCTCTTTGTCCCGACCTCCGAAGTGGGGGGGGGGGGAGCATAGGGGATTTCGGTTTATGAGACGAGGGCTGTAGGTGGGCACCAGGCAGGTATACACGCGGGGCGAGCCGCCGCTCCGCATTCCCGTTGTGTTTTTTTGGTTTTCGGGAGGGGAGGGGGGCTTCGGGATTCGTGGCGACACGATGGGGAGAACGCCGCCGGCGATGGTAGCCGTGGAATTCGCTGCCACGCGGGAGCTCGAGCAGACTACCACGTCGCGAGAGGTGGCGGCGGCGGATTGGAGAGGCCTTCATCCAGCTGTGGATTGACCATGGTTTACGATGACTTCATGCAGCAGTGGATTGACCATCGCTGATGATAGTTATAATGATGCCTTCGTCCAGCAGTGGATTGACCATGGCTGATGATGATCATGATGATGCCTTCATCCAGCTGTTGATTGACCATGGCTGATAACCACGAGTCCTTGCTCAATCCACTGCTGGAAGAATGCATCATGGTCTATCAACTGATGGATGTAGGAATCATAATTATCAGTGGACGGTTTATCCACTGCTGAATGAAGGCCTCCCCATCCAATGTCGCTCATGCAGTGGAGTGGCCCAGTAAGGCCACTCCATTGCAAGTGCTAGGGGCATGTGAAGCCACTCAGGATTTTTCAGAATATTTATTTAAACTGGAGGAATCCGATGAGCTATGAAGCTCTATTTTTTTTACAAATGCCCAGCAATCGCAGATGTTCATGCTAGTGCCAGGGCCAAGTCAGGCCACTCCACTGCAAGTGCCAGTGCCAAGTCCACGAGCAGACAGCCTCACAGCATTCCAGTGGCTTGGGCTTCAGGGCCAGGAGCAGCGCTGACTGAGTAGGGGCCGTGGCCATGGCAAGGGTCAGAAGCGGGGAGGAGCGAGGCGGGGCCTGGGCCCTCGGATTTCATCTCCACGACAACCAGGGAGCTCAGACGCCAGTGTTTTTGGGAGTAGGTGGGTAGGCGACATCTCGCCACGGTGGCTAGGAAATGTTAACTACCTCGCCCGGTATACAGGAGGACGTGGGTTCGATCCCGACCCTGATGCCTGTGTATTTGGAGTTTGTGCGTCTCTCTCCCCGTGGTGGTCCCGTGGATTTTTCTCTAAATTCTCCAGGTTTTCCCTCCACATTTATAAACATGCGTGTAGAGTATTGGGCTGCTATAAATTTCCACGTGATAATGATAAGCCACGACTTCGTTGGGCTATCATTTATAATAGCCAGGGTCGCATCTGAAAAAGCTACATAGCTCAGTGGGCCTTGCCTGGTAAAATATAAATGTTTTAGTTTAAATCGTTTATAGATTGAGCGTGTCTGGAGGGTCTGCTCTGCGTTGTGTTGAGATTCTGGTGGTCGGGGTGGTAAGTTGGGTCATTGCGTACATGTCGTCGTGTTCTGTTAATCGCTGTTGCGTCGCGTGGTAGAGGCTGTCACATTGAGTTTGACAGAGAACCTGGTGCATCGGCGACTGTGGAGCGACAGGACCAACCTTGCCTTCCTTGAGGTTCACGGCCTCCGCTCTCTCTCTCTCTCTCAGAGTGCAGTGCGTCGGATTGCGCACTTTGCTCGAGGTTGCTGAGCCCGCATTACTTGTGTTAATAAAATGTCGCAGCCCAAGCGTTATTGTTTTTGACGTCACTCCTTAAAACGGGATCACGACCGAACTGGCCATTCGATCCCCCCTGCATCCCTCACCGTGTCTCATAGCCCCAGGGGTCCCCTTGCGTGTCCCAAACCCTACGGTACCATCTGTAGACTGCGGCGGATTTGGGCAAGGTCGCGGCACAACGCGGACGAGATGTCTGCTCTCGAAGTATCTTTTTGGCGTCACCAAGCAATGCACACCGACACGGTCGTCGATCTCACCCAAGTCTTTTGACACCGTGGGGGAGACGAGAAGGAAGGTGGAAACTACTCCCAACAAGTGTTGGCGTCCAGCCAGGGTTCTTGGAATGAGCGGACAGTTCCATGACGGTATGGCTATAGGCAGGGTTCACACTCAGGCGTATCAGATGCATTTAACATTTCAAACGAAGTGACACACGGCTTGTACTGACCTCACCACACAACTCACCAGCACCAGTACTGACCTCACCAAACAGCTCACCACCACCAGTACTAACCAAACCAAACAGCTCATCAGCACCAGTACTAACCTCACCACACTGCTCACCAGCGCCAGTACTAACGTCACCAAACAGCTCACCACCACCAGTACTAACGTCACCAAATAGCTCACCACCACCAGTACTAACGTCACCAAACAGCTCACCACCACCAGTACTAACCTCATCAAACAGCTGGACTCTACCTGTCCCATCTGCACGGGATAGACTAAAACTTATGTTTGATTTTACCAGATAAGGCCCACTGAGCTGTGTAGCTCTTTTTCAGAATGGACCTGGCTCTCGTAAATGATAGCTCAACGAAGCGGCGGCTTCTCGTAATCACGAGGACATTCAATGCAGCAGCTAAATACTCTTAAGCGCATATTTCTAAATGTGGAGGGGAAAATCGGAGTCCCAGGAGAAAACCCCACACGACCACGGGGAGAGAGACATGCAAACTCCACATTTACAGCAGGCGTCAGTGTCGGAATGGAACCCATGGCCTCCTGCATACCAGGCGAGGTCGTTAGCATTTGCCCACCGTGGACAGACGAGTGTTGTTCCGTGGGTGTGCGCTGTGTGCTTGTATCAACACTCATTCATTGGCCGACAACATCAAATATACAAAGCGCTTGCCACAAATGAACCACAACACCTCGCTGATCTCGTCAAGGAGCAGAAACAATCACGGACTCTCTGGTCATCCTCGCAGCAGCAGGGGCTTTTGACTCAGCCATCGAACCAAGACTGCGGTAACCGGATCGCGCCGCGCATTCAGATCTGCGTCTACTGCCGTCTGGAACGCTCTTCCTTCCGATATTAGGAAGCAAGCCACCGGCAGCTATGCATTTTGATTAAACCATCTCGATTGAAAACGAATTTATTTAGAACTGCTTGTTGTTGTGTTTAGTTTGTTATCCTTTCCCCCGCACCTCCGATTAGCACGGTTGGCTACGTAAGGTGGGAAAGAGGTTTAACACAAAAACAACACTATACACGACACCACCACCACCATACACTACACTCAATTGAAAACTCATTTTTTAGAACTGCTTTTTGTGTTTAGTTGTCCTCCCACCTCCAATGAGCGCCGTTGCCTGTGTACGGTGCGAAAGAAGTTCAACATACAGTACATATTCATAATAACCCAACCACAAAGCTTGGGCAAATTGTGAGTGTCGCTGGCTCCTGCTGATTCTGCTGCCTTCCTTCCCTCCCCGATGGTCTGAGCATCCTCGTCGAAGAACGACTTCTGTGCGACAGCCGCCCCGGTTGCAGTCTTGTTACAAGCCCCAGATGATGATGAAGTTGTTGCTGTAAACGCATCCAACGGTGTTTTTCTGCTCCCGGAGTTAATTATTAGCGCGAGGGTTTTGCTTTTCGTGTTCAGCTGCCAAATGCGTAAACATTGATACGGCAATTCCATCTCCATCGGACTTTGCCCAGAATCTGTTGATATGTCTGTGTGTGTGTCGGTGTTTGTTCCATTTTAACCCAGGCCTTCATAGGCTATACGGGGGATCTTTGTCTTTGTGTTCCATTTTAACCCGCTGAGTTGACTCAGCCTTAAATGAGTACCTGGGGCGGTGTGCAAAAACATCGCCATTGGGGAGACAAAAGCGGCCGGACGTGGTTCTGGCCTCACCACCCCCTCGTGCGCCGTGCCGGCCTTCATAGGTGCTTGCTACTCCTCACTAAGAGCACTTGCCCGATCAAGTTGCCCAGGCTACACGGGGGATCTCAGTCTTTGTATTTATGTTAATATCACGATTGCTGAGCACGCGCCTAAAACGCCAAGCGGTCAGCAACAAACAGCAACAATAAAGTTGTTACATTTTGATTTAAAGCTTTCGTGACCGCAGTAATTTATATTCTTAGCTCTTTCGGTGAAGTCACGTTGAAGGGAAACAATACAATAATAAAATATATATAAAACAATAAAAAAATTCTCACGACGTTTCGACCATAACACAAACGGTCGTCATCAGGTGTAAAGTTGTTAATATCTAATGAACACAAACCTTATGAACGTTACAAATTGGCTGTGTCGGGTGGTAGCGGGTTTAACGACGCATTTATATTTACGCGATCTAACCCAAGACACCTCGATTATGGAGAATATTGGTCGCGAAAGCCTACATGTTAAACAGACTGAACACGTTGGTGGGCAAAATAGTTAATAGTGTGTGACAGGATGAGTTGGTAGGTGAGCAGGTGGATGAGCGTGTGAATAAATGAGTGCGTGGGAGAATTAATTATTCTGTAGGTGAGTGAGTGGGTGATTATTGCGAGTAGGTAGATGAGCGAGTGAGTGGGTGAGTGGCTTACTCGGTGAGTGAGCAGGTGAGTTGGTGACTCGGTGAGTGGATGAGTGACTGGATGAGTGGGCGAGTGGATTTCTGGGCGACTGGGTGAGTGAGGTAGTGAATAAGTTGCTGTGAGCTGCAGTCTGATGGTTAAGCGACTTCGTTAGTGGGTGAGCGAGTGAGTGACTCGGTGAGCGAGTGGGTGAGTGAGTGGTTGTGAGCTGCAGTGTGGAGGTCGGACGCTGAGCAGAGTCGCCGCCATGGTTCGTACTGCACTGGGCTATAATCTGGGCACATCTGAAGTCGATTCCCGCTCGCGTCAAACGGACGTGGCGAGTAATATCTGAACCAGTCCCGGGCCTCCCCTAGGTCGACTCAGCCTTAAGTGAGTACCTGGCGCCGTGCGTGAACACGGGTGGGGTTGCGTGTTTGGGAGGGGCCGAGGATCAATACACGGAGCGAGGCTGCGAATCAGCGGCTACGGCTCCATCCCCTATCATCTCCGCAATCATCTCCCCCCCCCCCCGCGTCTTCATTTGGGAACTCTGTCTACCTGAGTATCTCTCTCTGTCACCCCCCGTGTCTCTCTTGACTGTGTCTCTGCCCTTGAGTCACTCCGCTTGAATATATTTCCCCTGCATCACTCTCCTCTGAATTATCTCCCTTTCTTTCTCTCCCCGTGTCTCTCTTCTCGCTCTCTCTCCCCCTGCCTCTCTCCGACTGTAACTCTCTCTCTCGTCTCCATATGTCTCTGTGCACGTGTTAAAACTAACCACGTCGTCTCATTAGAATCCACCATCACCACCAGCAACCACGTTGTGCCGCCGTGAGCCGTGAGAAGATGCTGAACGTTCAGGCTCGGCGTGCGTCGAGGTACAGCGACTACTGCACACACAAACCCACGAATCAACGAATACTCGACGAAATAATTGAATGAATAATCTTATGAGTAATAGAATTCATAGTTTCATGAATAATGGAATGAGTCATGGTATGAATAATTGAGTGAATAATTGGATGCCTAATGGTATTAATAAGCAAACGAATCATCGAATGATTTATCGATATAATTGAACGAATAATTAAATGAGCAATTGAATGAATAACAGAACAAATACATTACTATAGTCCTATAAACATTCACGCGAGCCACAATGTTTACAACTGCTCACAATAGCTGTGTACCAACTGTCACGAATGATAATTCGCCAAACCGTGTATGCTTTCGTGTGTTGGTTCTTGTGCTCGTTCGTTCCGCATAATTCGTTGCCGTGGTCAGGAGTGTTTATGTGTCCGTGTATTACTCTTTGGTTCTTTCGGTAAAGCCACGAAAAAATAAATAAATAAATAGGATAACAGCATACGACGTTTCGATTGCAACACAAGCAATCATCATCAGGTACAAATGAAAAAGAAAACAAACCTAGTAAATCTTCTTTGGTTCTTTCGGTAAAGTCACGTAGAATGAGAATAAAATAATAAATTGATAAAATAAAATAACACAATAATATTCTCACGACGTTTCGGCCACAACACAAGCGGCCTTCATCAGGTGAAGGGACGAGACTGTCTGGTAGGACAGCGCTGGAGTGAAAGAGCCACGTTCAGATCACGACCTTTAAGCTGTGTGAGAGAAAACAAAGCGCCTTGACAAAGGAATTAGCATATAATTTAGCATTGAAATGGCTGAGTGATTAGCTTGTGACTGGTCACAGAAATAGCTATGTTAAAAGTTAAAGCATACACATCCGCAAAGGCACCCCTTGACAAAGGAATTAGCATAGAATTTAGCATTGAAATAGCTGGGTGATTAGCTTGTAACTGGTCACAGAAATAGCTACGTTAAAGTCAGAGCATACACATTCACCGAGGCACTTAGTACAAATCAAACAGGAGAATTTAGCATTGAAATAACTAGGCGAATTTAGCATTGAAATAACTGAGTGATTAGCTAGTGACTGGTCACAGAAATGACTATGTTGAAGTCAAGGCCTACACATCTGAGCTATTCACAGTACTAAATAGTGAACCAATAAAAAACTAAAATATAAATTACCTTAATGTTATCAATAAACTCAATATTCTCCAATCAGCTAAGCTACCAACAATAAGTCGTTATATATCACAATCCTATATGGCGAAAAAATGGGTGGATTCTTACCCTCAACTTTAGCACCACGGATAGCTACGGGCCCCGTTCAGACGGACGAGTTCATCCATGGTCGGAACAGAGGAGGGGGAGAGAGACAGCTGCGAGGCGCTATTATACTCCATGTTGTAAACCATACCATTAACCGTGGTGTGAGAGGTATTAAGAGTCAATGCTGGCGAAAGAGCTGCGTTCTGAAGGTCATCGTAAAATACAATTAATTAAGAACAGAAATGGTTCGTTCATGAGGCCATTCACATATACAAGCACAGAGACAATTTCAACCGAGAAGATGGATTCTGGCTTAGTAACCATTGGAAAGATGTCCGTCTGAACGGGGCCCGTAGCTATCCGTGGTGCTAAAGTTGAGGGTAAGAATCCACCCATTTTTTCGCCATATAGCATTGTGATATATAACGACTTATTGTTGGTAGCTTAGCTGATTGGAGAATATAGAGTTTATTGATAACATTAAGGTAATTTATATTTTAGATTTTTATTGGTTCACTATATAGTACTGTGAATAGCTCAGATGTGTAGGCCTTGACTTCAACATAGTCATTTATGTGACCAGTCACTAGCTAATCACTCAGTTATTTCAATGCTAAATTCGCCTAGTTATTTCAATGCTAAATTCTCCTGTTTGATTTGTACTAAGTGCCTCGGTGAATGTGTATGCTCTGACTTTAACGTAGCTATTTCTGTGATCAGTTACAAGCTAATCACCCAGCTATTTCAATGCTAAATTCTATGCTAATTCCTTTGTCAAGGGGTGCCTTTGCGGATGTGTATGCTTTAACTTAGCTATTTCAATGCTAAATTCTATGCTAATTCCTTTATCAAGGGGTGCCTCTGCGGATATGTATGCTTTAACTTTTAACATAGCTATTTCTGTGACCAGTCACAAGCTAATCACTCAGCCATTTCAATGCTAAATTATATGCTAATTCCTTTGTCAAGGCGCTTTGTTTCCTCTCACACAGCTTAAAGGTCGTGATCTGAACGTGGCTCTTTCACTCCAGCGCTGTCCTAGACAGACAGTCTCGTCCCTTCACCTGATGAAGGCCGCTTGTGTTGTGGCCGAAACGTCGTGAGAATATTATTGTGTTATTTTATTTTATCAATTTATTATTTTATTCTCATTCTACGTGACTTTACCGAAAGAACCAAAGAAGATGAATCATTGCAGTCACGAAAGCTTTAAATCGAAACCTAGTAAACTTAGAAATATAATGCAATACAACATAGAGAGTCGGCTAACATAACAGTCAACACCCTACCTGGTTGATTACGTTCTTCCAAAGATTGCTGAATTTGAGAGAGAGACTAAACACAGACACGGAGACACACAGACAGACACATAAGCAGAGAGATAATACAGAGACACACAGGGAGAGACAGACACATAGGCACACAGAGAAACAACGCCTCTGTGTCGAGGCCTTAAATAGAGAGAGAGGGGGGCAGAGAGAGAGAGAGAGGGGGAGGGGTAGAGAAATTAGCATGTCAATTAGAGATTTGGAGCTTTCTTGACTGCAGGAAATAATAGAGCAACAACACGAGGACACAGAGAGAGAGAGAGAAAACACACTTAATCAAACAAACTTAGTAAAATTTGGAAATGTAATGTAATGCAACACAGAGAGTCGGTCAACACACAATTAACGCATAGTCTGATTGATTACGTTCTTCCAAAGATTGCTAAATTAGAAGTTAAGTGTGAAATTTGAGAGAGAGACAAGACAGACAGACAAGCAGAGAGAGAGACAACACAGAGACAGAGAGAGAGAGAGACAAAACGAACTTAAAACCTCCCCGTAGAGGTGGTTCAAACTTCATTTGGAGCTTTCGTGACTGCAGGAATTACTCTTTGGTTCTTTCGGTAAAGTCACGTAGAAAGAAAAAATAAATTAAATAATAGCATACGACGTTTCGATTGCGTGATTTTACCGAAAGAACCAAAAAGTAATTCCTGCAGTTATTCATTCACCCACTCGCTCACCCACTCACACCGTCTCCCCTTCTCCTCCCAGCGTCGCACTGCGCCCGCTGCTCACGCGTCTCCAGGGGGACGCGGGGCGCCTAGCCGGGGCTCGGGTGGCTACGACCACCCCTCTCCTCTCCGCCCCACTGCACCACTCCTCCGCCCGGCAGGCAGCAGCAGGAGGAGCGGGGGCCCGGTACAGCTACGTGGTGGTGGGGGGCGGCAGCGCAGGCTGCGTGATAGCCGGGCGCCTCTCCGAGGACCCGGGGGCCAGCGTGCTGCTGCTCGAGGCCGGGCCCCGGGACACGGTGCTGGGCAGCAAGAGGCTCGCGTGGAAAATCCACATGCCCCTGGCACTCGCCTATAACCTGTGCGATGATAGGTGAGCAGCTGCGGGAGGTGCCGCTCATGTTGATGGTGGTGTGGTTGTGGTGGTGGCGGTGGCGATGGAGCGACGATCACAACAACGAGCGGCGCACCAGATGGCTAAAACACAACAAGTTGGCACAGTAGGGGGGCACAGCTGGTGCATCTGCCAGTCATCTTAGTCAGCCACCCCATGGCACCGCCTGGGTCTGTCCTGAGACCTCATGTCAGCGAGCCTTTGATACTTCACGTGACTTCAAAGTCCACCTTGGCCTGGCGCAGGTGTCGTGACGATGTCACCGTCACTTTTAGTGGCGAATGGCGGATGTTGGTATTGGTGGTGATGACTGCCTTTCAAAAATGCCCCACCTACTGGGTCTGTGACGCTGTGGTGGTTTTGACCAATGCCATTGGAGTGACGGCCGAAACTAATCGGCTAATGCCCTCATGACTCTTTCAGCTGCCAGTGGCCAGGCATGAGGGCTGTGACCCCCCCCCCCATCTTCAATTCAATCCCCAAAAAACTAATAAACGAAATAAGCTTGTGCCGGAGAGCTCGAGAGGACAGGTGCTATACTGGGATAAAATGAATCTGCGATCAAATTAATTTGTGCTCGATCCTTGCTCGATCAGCATGGATCAAGTATGGCTAGGATTCCTGTCAGATGATTTCTGGATCGAAACCGACGATTTGTAGATCGAACAAGCCCACATTAGGCTGCCCCTTGATGCCGATTGGCTTCCTTCCACATTTATATAAATTATCATTAATTCTGTAGTAGATTAATTTTATCCTGTTACAGCGTCTATGACGTCTCCTGGCCAAACCCCGTTTGAATACTGAACCCCCTCCCCCCTCGTAGTTCCTCCAGACACAGCAGGAAACTACTGTGGTTGGTCACGTAGAATGTCCACTCACTGCAGAGGAGAGGCTGCCATTCGTCTGTTGGGAGCTAGGTTGGTACCACCTGGACCTCTGTGGAATATAGGAGGTTTGGTGGGCCAGTCCCAGGTGCTGGCTAAAGTAGTCCCTCGGAATAGAGTCACCCTGTTGGATGCCTTTAATGATCGAGTGGGTCATGACGCAGGCACTTGGGCCAGAGTAATTGAAAAGCATAGGCCAGATCAGCTCAATACCAACTGCAGGAAGCTGCTAGACTTCTCTGCAGCCTATCAGCTTGTAATCACCAAAACGATATTCCTGCGCGGGTGCATCCACACAACATCACGGGTGCACGCCGGATTTAAGCAGAGAACATCTGCTGGACTGTACAGTGAATAGGGGCCCATGTCTTGATACCGTCAATCAATTCTCGATTCTATACCGCACCATATTCAGTAAAAATAAATCTGAGATGTAAGCGTGGATGGCACTGAGAAACTAAAACTTTAGTTTAACAGAAGAGAGCATTAATGTTTTTAGTCCGGTCTTAAGCCGGCAGTCTGTTCCAGACCACCAGGACTGCAGATGAGAAGCTCCGTTCTGCTATCCGAAGGCGATTGAATCTCCCACACAAACAGAGGTTCATTTCTGATGAGCCTACATTTCGTGGTGGCAAGAATGGGTGGATGGCATTGCTTAGGTAAGTTGGTTGGCCAGTTGCCTCTGCTATAAACGCGACCTTGAACAATTGAGGCGATGGGGCAGCTGTGGACATCGTGGATCAGTTCTTATACCTGGGCAGCGTGCTTATGACCAGCGCCAGTTTGGTAGCAGAGGTCTATCTTCAAATCAGTCGAACGTCATTATATTTTCATCGGCTACCTGGACTGTCGCTACGCATGAAACTCCAGGTCTTCTTTGCCACAGTTATGCTTGCAAAACATTAAGCCCTCTGAAAAAACATCTGCGCTGGTTTAAACACATTCAAGGCACGCCTGCCTTCGATCAATCCTCGGTTCAGTTAGACTGGATTGTGTGAGGAGCTCAGGTTCTTGAAAGATATGGACGCGATCCGTCAGCAATCTCACTTGGCAGGCAAGTCTGCGTTGGCTTGGTCATGTAGTCCACATGTCCAGCATCATTTGCCCAAGCAGCTTCTGTTTGGCCAGATAGAGGGGGCTACATGGGTGTTGCATTGTCTAGAGAAGAGATGGACTGATGTGGTACAGAAGCATGTGGACTTTCTGATGACTAGTACCAGTCGTGCCAAGATTTGCCTCTGTAGAAGAACGCCCTCGTGAAGGACGCTGCTACTGGGCAGTTGGAGGAATTCGCCCTCCAGCAACAACGGAGGGCAGAGGAGCGACGCTCACAACAACGAGCAGAGCACCGGGCAACTAAAACGCAGAAAGTTGGCACAGTGAAGAGCACAGTTGGTGCATTTGAAAACGATTTGAGATTGAAAACTTATTACTATAGAACACATTTTTTAAAGAGGTTCAACACACACACACACACGCACATTTGTAAGTAATTTCAGCCAGTCAACCGAGTTTGTTCCATGACATCCCGCCAGCAAGCCTTCGGCATTTCTTGTGGGCTCAAAGTTCACCTCGCCTGGAACACACGCCGTGGTGACGTCACCACTACTCGATGGTGAATGACGGTTGTTTTTATCAGGGGGGTGACGGGAAACAACAGATTCTGTCTCGCTGCCGCACGGCCCCCCACAAGGTAACGCCGGTGCCCCCCACTGCTTGCTGTGATGTGCCTCAGGTACAACTGGTGCTACCACACGGAGCCCCAGGAGCACATGGGAGGCCGCGCCCTCTACTGGCCACGTGGCAGAGTGCTGGGGGGCTCCTCGTCCCTCAATGCCATGGTCTACATTCGCGGCCACGCGCTCGACTACGACGCGTGAGCCTCCCCCTCACAACGGAGAGACCCACAGAGGCGCGGAGAGGTCGACGCACCAACGCAGAGACAACTCAGAGACCCACAGGGCTTGCTTAGAGTCACAGACTGGTGTACAGTTGCACAAACTCGCACAGAGACGCATATACTCGCATAGAGACCCATCGACAAATCTCGAACCACGGGCTTACAGAGTCAAAGACTCACATAGAGAATCATAGACTCGCATAGAGACCCACAAAACAAAGGTCCCCCGTATAGCCTTAACAGACTGTTGGGGCAAGTGCTGTTAGCAAGTAACACCTATGAAGGCCGGAACGGCGCACAAGGGGGTGGATCGCCAGAACCACGCCCGGCCGCCGTTGTAACCCCGAGTTATGATGTTTACACACCGCACAAGGTACTAATTTTAATCTGGGTCGACCTAGGCGAGGCCCAAGACCGGGTTCAGATAATCGTCAACGCTTTTGGCCATGAGCTGGAATCGAACTCGGCTCGCCGGGTTTCATAGCGTAGCATAGTGCTAACCGCAAAAACCATGCCACCACACTCACGTACATACGCATAGACTCCCATAGAGACCCATGGACTCATGAGGCATAATCTATGGATTGTCTGTTTTGTGAGCCTGCGAGACTGACCGAGCAGGGCACCTCCCATTGCAGGTGGGAGCACGACCACGGCGCGCGGGGCTGGTCGTACGCGCACTGCTTGCCTTACTTCCGCAGAGCGCAGAGCCACGCTCTGGGCGCGAACCCATACAGGGGGGGCGACGGCCCCCTGCACGTGTCGCGCGCCGCCCCCGGGAACCCCCTGCATGAGGCCTTCCTAGAGGCGGCGGCGCAGGCTGGGCATCACATCACTGAGGACATGAACGGGTACCGGCAGGAGGGCTTTGGCTGGATGGATCGCACCATCCACCAAGGTGAGTGAGTGCCATCATCCACCAGGGTGAGTGAGTGGGTGGCATCATCCACCAGGGTGAGTGGGTGGTTGTCACCATCCACCAGGGTGAGTGAGTGGGTAGCACCATCCACCAGGGTGAGTGAGTGGCATCATCCACCAGGGTGATTGAGTGGGTGGCATCATCCACCAGGGTGAGTGAGTGGGTGGCACCATCTACCAGGGTGAGTGAGTGGTATCATCAACCAGGGTGAGTGAGTGGCATCATCCACCAGGGTGAGTGAGTGAGTGGAACCATCCACCAGGGTGAGTGAGTGGGTGGCACCATCCACCAGGGTGAGTGAGTGGGTGACATCATCCACCAGGGTGAGCGAGTGAGTGGTTGTCATCATCCACCAGGATGAGTGAGTGGGTGGCACCATCCACCAGGGTGAGTGCGTGAGGGGCACCATCCACCAGGGTGAGTGAGTGGGTGAGTGGCACCATCCACCAGTGTGAGTGAGTGGCACCATCCACAAGGGTGAGTGAGTGGCATCATCCACCAGTGTGAGTGAGTGGCACCATCCACCAGGGTGAGTGGCATCATCCACCAGTGTGAGTGAGTGGCACCATCCACCAGGGTGAGTGAGTGGGTGACATCATCCACCAGGGTGAGTGAGTGAGTGGCACCATCCACCAGGTTGAGTGAGTGGGTGGCATCATCCACCAGGGTGAGTGAGTGGGTGGCATCATCCACCAGGGTGAGTGAGTGAGTGGCATCATCCACCAGGGTGAGTGAGTGAGTGAGTGACACCATCCACCAGGGTGAGTGAGTGGGTGGCATCATCCACCAGGGTGAGTCAGTGGGTGGCATCATCCACCAGGGTGAGTGAGTAAGTGGCACCATCCACCAGGGTGAGTGAGTGGGTGGCACCATCCACCAGGGTGAGTCAGTGGGTGGCATCATTCACCAGGGTGAGTGAGTGACACCATCCACCAGGGTGAGTGAGTGGGTGGCACCATCCACCAGGGTGAGTGAGTGGGTGGCATCATCCACCAGGGTGAGTGAGTGAGTGGCATCATCCACCAGGATGAGTGAGTGAGTGGCATCATCCACCAGGGTGAGTGAGTGAGTGAGTGGCATCATCCACCAGGGTGAGTGAGTGAGTGGCAACATCCACCAGGGTGAGCGAGTAAGTGGCACCATCCACCAGGGTGAGTGAGTGGGTGGCATCATCCACCAGGGTGAGTGAGTGAGTGGCATCATCCACCAGGATGAGTGAGTGAGTGGCATCATCCACCAGGGTGAGTGAGTGAGTGGCATCATCCACCAGGGTGAGTGAGTGAGTGGCAACATCCACCAGGGTGAGCGAGTAAGTGGCACCATCCACCAGGGTGAGTGAGTGGAACCATCCACCAGAGTGAGTGAGTGAGTGGCAACATCCACCAGGGTGAGTGAGTGAGTGGCAACATCCACCAGGGTGAGTGAGTGAGTGGCAACATCCACCAGGGTAAGTGAGTAAGTGGCACCATCCACCAGGGTAAGTGAGTGAGTGGCAACATCCACCAGGGTGAGCGAGTGAGTGGCAACATCCACCAGGGTGAGTGAGTGGAACCATCCACCAGGGTGAGCGAGTGAGTGAGTGGCAACATCCATCCGGGTGAGCGAGTGAGTGAGTGGCAACATCCACCAGGGTGAGTGAGTGGCAACATCCACCAGGGTGAGTGGGTGGCATCATCCAACAGTGTGAGTGAGTGGCACCATCCACGTGAGTGAGTGAGTGAGTGGCATCATCCAACAGTGTGAGTGAGTGGTACCATCCACCAGGGTGAACGAGTGAGTGAGTGGCAACATCCACCAGGGTGAACGAGTGAGTGATTGGCATCATCCAACAGTGTGAGTGAGTAAGTGGCACCATCCACCAGGGTGAACGAGTGAGTTAGTGGCATCATCCAACAGTGTGAGTGAGTGAGTTAGTGACATCATCCAACAGTGTGAGTGAGTGGCACTCTCCACCAGGGTGAGTAAGTGACACCATCCACCAAGGTGAGCGAGTGGCAACATCCACCAGGGTGAACGAGTGAGTGATTGGCATCATCCAACAGTGTGAGTGAGTAAGTGGCACCATCCACCAGGGTGAACGAGTGAGTTAGTGGCATCATCCAACAGTGTGAGTGAGTGAGTTAGTGGCATCATCCAACAGTGTGATTGAGTGAGTGGAACTCTCCACCAGGGTGAGTAAGTGACACCATCCACCAAGGTGAGCGAGTGGCACCATCCACCAGGGTGAGCAAGTGAGTGAGTCGCACCATCCAACAGGGTGAGTGAATGGGTCATGATACAGGAGCAACCCTGCACTGGCACCATCCACCAGGGTGAGTGAGTGGGTCAGGATAAAGGCTCAGCCCTGCAGTGGCAACGTCCTTCCTGCAGGCCGTCATGGTCCCTATTCCCCAACAACATTTGGCCAAATAGCCTGCTAGAGGCTACCCTGGGGACCTCTATCTTTATCTTCGTGTGCACCAGGCAAGCGCTGGAGCACGGCGTGTGCCTACCTGCACCCGGCGCTCTCCCGGCCCAACCTGGAGGTGCGGCACCGCGCCACCGCCACTCGTGTGCTCTTCGAGGGCGACCGTGCCGTGGGCGTGGAGCTGCTGCGAGCGGGGGTCACAGAGCGGGTGAGAGAAGGGGTCACAGAAAGGGGGTCACGCAGCGGGTGAGAGAGGGAGTTGTGGAGCGAGTGACAGAGGGGGTCACAGAGCGGGTGAGAGAGGGGGTCACAGATAGGGTGTCACAGAAAGGGGGTCACAGAGCGGGTGAGAGAGGGAGTTGTGGAGCGAGTGACAGAGGGGGTCACAGAGCGGGTGAGAGAGGGAGTCATGGAGTGGGTGAGAGTGAGGGTCACGGAGTCGGTGAGAGAGGGGTCACAGGGAGGGGGTCACGGAGGGGTTGAGAGAGCGGTCATGGAGCAGGTGAGAGAGGGGGTGACGCATTGGATGAGAGAGGTCACAGTGCGGTGAGAGAGGGGTTCTCGGAGAGGGTAAAAGTGGGGGCCATGGATCGCAACGTGTGGCCAGCATCACATGGGTGGTGATTGTCCATTGCGGCTGTTTGCCGAGCGGAACAAGAACCTTACCGCTGTGACGATAAGCTGCTGCTGCCACTGATGCCGCTGATGCTGCTGGACTTACGGGGATGATGTGAATGTGGCTCGGAGCCACGCAGGGTTGCGGTTGCAACGCATTCTCTCCACGTCGAATGCCAGGTGTACGCGGAGCGGGAGGTGATTCTGTGCGGAGGAGCCATCAACTCGCCCCAGCTGCTGCTGCTGTCCGGCATCGGACCCGAGAAGGAGCTCAAGAAGCTCGGCATCCCGGTGCTCGTCAACAGTCCAGGTGGGTCACCGAGGTTCCGCGTTGATTTTCGTGAACTCGGCGGACCAGAATAGAGGGAGCTCGGTCAGGATAAGAAATGCAAAACGAATAAAGTTCAGCAATGGAGCAAAATAGATGATGATGACGATGATCATGACGATGCTGACATTGTCGAAGATGATCATAATGATGGTGATAATGGCGATGATTATGATGATGGTGATGATGATTATGATGATTATGGTAATGATTATGCTGATTATGACAATTATGATGGTGATTGAGTCATAGTACCCCACCCCCACGGTGTGCGTGAAGGCGTGGGCATGAACCTGCAGGACCACCTGGAGGTGTACGTGCAGCAACGTTGCCTGCAGCCCGTGACCCTCTACGGCCTCCTGCGGCCAGACCGCACGCTCAGTGCGGGCCTCCAGTGGCTGCTGCGCTTCACAGGTATGAGAAAGCCCCCCCCCCCCCGACCCCCTCCACCCCCACCTCCAAAGTGATACAGCTGTGTCTCCCCATGTGTCCCAGTGTCTCCGTGTTTATCCCATGTCTCTGTGTCCCTGTATGTCTGTCTCCCCATGTTGCCCAGTGTCTCCGTGTTTATCCCATGTCGCTGTGTCCCTGTATGTCTGACTCTCTATGTGTTCCCCGTCTCCGTGTTTATCCCATGTCTCTGTCTCCCTGTATGTCTGTCTCCCCATGTGGCCCAGTGTCTCCGTGTTTATCCCATGTCTCTGTGTCCCTGTATGTCTGTCTTGCTTTGTGTCTCCCATGTCTCCGTGTTTATCCCATGTCTCTGTGTCCCTGTATGTCTGTCTCCCCATGTGTCCCAGTGTCTCCGTGTTTATCCCATGTCTCTGTGTCCCTGTATGTCTGTCTCCCCATGTGGCCCAGTGTCTCCGTGTTTATCCCATGTCTCTGTGTCCCTGTATGTCTGTCTCTCCATGTGTCCCCCGTGTCTCCGTGTCCCTCCCAAGTCCCCGTGTCTTCCCCGCTCCCCCTCCCCCCATGTTCCCGTGTATCCCCGTGTCTCCGTGCGATTCTCTTTGACGGAGCGAGTTTTAAATTATCCCCGCTATAGAGTCGATATACGTGGTGCTAAGGACATTGGAGGGTGGTGTGGCATGGGGTGATATGGGGAAAGAAAACACACCAAGGTTGCAACTTCAAGGGAAGGGGAAACTTGGTGAATGTGAGGACCAGGCACGGGAGGAGAGGGGGAACAACAACCACCACGCTGCTTGACTACAGTGTGGGGTCTCCTCCCTTCAGCGAGGCTTCCACTCGTGTCCCCGTGTGTCCCTGTGTGTCCTGGTATGTCTCCGTGTCTCCCCGTATGTCTCCTCGTGTACCCGTGCGTCCCCTCGTGTCCCCCTGCCAGGCCCCTGTGCCACGGCCCACATGGACACGGGGGGGTTCGCTCGCTCGGAGCCCTCGGTGGCTCACCCTGACGTCCAGTTCCACTTCCTGCCCGCCCAGGTGATCGACCACGGCCGCGTCGACCCAACCATGGAGGCCTTCCAGGTGAGCAGGGGGACATTCCACGTTACCCCGGCGGGGCAAGTACAATGCTCTTTTGTTTTCTGTATGTATGTTGAACTTTTTTCGCACCCTACGCAGCCGAACCGTGCTATTCGGAAGTGCAAACGAGTAATGGTAATGGGAACGCACACTCAAGCGGTGCTTTACCCGGCCCAGATAGATGATACTTATGATGGTGGTAATGGTGACAATGGCCGTAATGGTGATGATGTTGGCGGCGGTAGTGGTGGCGAATGCACACCCACAGAACATGAATTATCAGCGGAGGGATGCAGGCAAGGCCGATGAGTCAGACACCGTATATGACCTGTCCCAGGTGCTAGCTAAAGTGGGCCCTCAGGATATAGCCATCCTGTTGGATGACTTTAAGGCCCGAGTGGGTCATGACGCTTACACGTGGGCTAGAGTGATTGAAAGGCATGGGCCAGATCAGCTCAATAACAATGGTAAGAAACAACTAAACTAAACTGTTGTTTAGCTTATGGCCTTGTAATCACCAACACGCTGTTCTGGCAACGGTGCATCCACACAAAATCATGGATGCATGCCGGGTTCATGCAAGAATATCTGCTGGACTATATAGTGATGGAACAGCAGATGCGGGCCCATGCACTTGACACCAGGGCTAATGTGAAGCTGATCTTTTCATTGACCATCGCCTTGTCATCTTCAATATGCGCCTTCCATACTTTTATTGTGGTGGCCATTGTCCATCTAGGACACCGCTCAAACCCAGAATATCCTGGTCTTGTCTAGTCGATGAAGGTTGCAAGCTATATTTTAACCCTTCCTAATGCTGAGGGGTAATGGGTGTCTTTCAAGACGGCAACTCATGCCGCTGCGATGGTTGCTTTGGGTACGTGATCCACAACTTCCCCAGAAACCCTGACTCATGGAGGTGTTGCAGCAAGTTGAAATTAAGTGACGGGCCCACACATGCCCTCTGGCCCTGACACTATTAAGTGACGGGCCCACGGATGATGTCTGGCCCTGACACTATTTAACATATTCCTTGAGCAAATAGTTCACAAAGCTTTTCATGGCTGTACCGTTTGAAATGTCTAGCTGGTACAGACAGGTGGAATTTATAGCTGATATGGCTCGCTATTATTCAACAATGCTGTGGATGTGGATGATCTGGTGATTGCTGCCCACTCTGAGGAGTTGGAAATGCTAGTGCTGTACCTGGAGCATGCTACTAAGAGGTGGGGGACTTACCATCAGCCCCACTAAACAAAGTGCCTGTATGTTATTGCTTGGATAGTGAGTCCAACTGAGTTACAGACATTGTCTTGGGAGCAACACTATTTATTTCACCAACTCAACATAACATAACACAACCTACACTTGGGTGTTGATTGTCAATCTAGCCACGCTACGGCAGAACTAGACACGGTTCGCGTGGCTAGAGGCTTCTTTAACCCGACGTGGATCTTCTTCACCAGCAACCCGAAGAACCCCGAGCACCTCATGGGGCCCCCGTTATATCGGCCTTGGCTGGGGCTGGTTCCGCCCCTTGCCCCGCCCACCTTCTAGATCTCTCGAGCTCTTTCCTGAAGGCTCCCGAGAGCTCTTTTATACCACGTGACTGCCCAGCGGCCCCCGGTGGCCCCCCTCCAATACCATCCAGTCACATGTCGGCAGGGGAACCAGCGTATCATGCCCCAATGTAACCCTGGCTGGCTGACACTCTCTCTCGCTCCCTCACCGGGAGCCCGCACCGCACACCGTACGTGGTGCCACCGCGCTGACCAGCGCTCGCCCAAGCACTGCTAGGGCTGCTACTACACCCAGTAGGCGGGCGACACATAATGCCAACACATTATCTGTCGCGGTTTCGTAAGCCCGGCACCCCACAGTGACATTCACAGTCACTACACATGCTCCCCTCCCTCCACTCCTCATGAGTGATGGAAAAGTTGTGGCGAGTGGTGGTGGTGGTGGTGCAGATATTAGGAAGCCACTGGAGCTTTACATATTTAAATCATCTAGATTGACAAACTCATTTCTTTAAAACAGCTTTTTTTGTTTAGTTTATTCTCTTTTCCCCAGAACACTCCGATTAGCACGGTTGGATTACGTACCGTGTGAAAAAAGTTTAACATACGTATGTAGTGGTATAGCCCTGACTGCTGGCGAAAAAGGGTAACTGCGGTGTACGGCAGTACTCGCGTCAGCAGGCCACGATATATATGAAAGTGGGACATCTAGGGGAAAGGTCACAGAAGGGACCCATCGGAGAGCCCGGGAACCCACTAGTAGGTTCCAGAAAGAGGAGTATAAGAGGGGACTGCTGTTGGAAGTGGGGTCCCCGTTGTGCTGTTCAAGATCATTGTCGTCACCATCTTGTCGTCGTCACCATCTCCTCGTCATCGTCTGTCTTCACCATCTCGGGGTGCTGTTAGTCAGACAGCCTACCAACTGTTCTAAGTAGTGCCGCCGACAATAGACAGGCTTAATTATAATAGTGTGCACCCAGGTAGGGTGTGTGTTATCCCGATGGTGCTTGTTAAATCAAATAAGTGGCTCCAGTTATTACTGTCTCCGATCTGCGTCACTACACATACATAATGATGGTGGTGGTAAGAATGATAGTGGTGTTGCTTCTGATCGTGATCAGATGATGATCCTGATGATGATGATCTTGATTTCCGTCCACCTCGTCAGGCCCATGTGGGGTCGTTGAGACCAACGAGTGTGGGCTGGCTCAAGCTGCGATCTGCCAACCCCACGGATCCCCCCGTGATCCAGCCCAACTACCTGAGCACAGGTGAGCAGGTGCCGTCTCATGATAGCCGGGTCGCGATGCATGCACAGCAGCGACTGTCACATCCTTTACAATACCATGCAAGGCGGCATTGTGCCTCACAGACGCAGGCTGCGGTTGTTCCAAGGTAAGGAGTGATGTTACTGTGTAGTCTAGCCCTAGTGAACCCCCAGTGGCAGCTGTCCTTATGCATGAATCTGATAGTAAGGGAGCGATGTTGCTGTGTGGTCTAGCCCTCGTGCACCCCCAGTGCCAGCTTTTTCTGTACATCAATCTGATAGTAAGGGGGTGATGTTGCTATGTGGTCTAGCCCTAGTAAATCCTCACTGGTTATTGCTGTGTTGCTGCTATATATGGAATCCCAATTGAGTAACTTGTGGTGTACATTTCCGTCCACCATGAGTGAAGCAGACGGCAACGTAAGTATCATTGTTATGGATTAACGCACACCGCAGTACTGACCAGGGCGGCCAGCTGGACTCGAGCCGTGAACCCCGACATCAAGCGACGAATCCACTACCGATAGGTCATGCCGTATGAGTAGACGTTCTTAACACATAACCGGCAAAACGATCCCAAAACTGGTTACCGGCTCCGACTGGAAGGAACCAGCAAACCGATTCCAGAGGAACGTGAGTATTGAGTCTAGCAATGAGCGCAAACGTACAAACAATGTGTGTGTGACTCTGAGTCACACGCAGAACCAGTGTGTCATTGCGTGAGTCTGTGTGTGTCTGTGCCTCTGTGTGAGACTGTGTGCGTCCTTGTCTCTGTGCGTCTGCGTGTGTGTCATTGTATCTGTTTGAGTCTGTAATGTGTCTGTGTGTGTGCATCTGTGTGTCTCTGTATGCCTCTGTGTGAGCCTGTGTGTGTCTGGGTCTCTGTGTTAGTTTTTGTGTCTCTGTGTGAGTCTCCGTGTGGTGACTTTGTGGGTCTCACCCGGCCCACCCCCTCCTCCGTGACCCCCCCCCGTGACCCCCCCCCGTGACCCCCCCCGTGACCCCCCCCCGTGACCCCCCCCCACCCCCCGTTACCCCGTGCGTGCGTGCGTGCAGAGCGCGACGTGTGGGAGCTGCGCCGCTGCGTGGAACTGGCGCGTGACATCTTCTCGCGGCCCGCCCTGGGCCCCTTCCGGGGTGTCGAGGTGTCGCCGGGTCCTGACGTCACCTCGGCGGTGCAGCTCGACGCGTGGGTGCGCCGGCACGCCGAGACCGCCTACCACCCATGTGGCACGTGCCGCATGGGCGATGCAGCCGACGCCGTGGTGGATGAGCAGGCGAGGGTGCGCGGGGTGGGCGGCCTGCGCGTGGTCGACGCCTCGGTGTTCCCGCGCCTGCCCAGCGGCAACACCAACGCGCCCGTGGTAATGGTGGCCGAGAGGGTGGCCGACCTGGTGAGGGGTCGCGAGCTGCTGCCGCCCAGTGACGCAACCGTCTACTCGGCGTGAGCTGGTGGAGGTGGTGGTGGGGGAGTGGTCATGCAGCATTTAGCGCGCTGCACTAAAAACACGGTTATCTAAGTTCGTTTCACACTCATGGCTAACACCAGTGACGATTATTTGAACTGGTCCTCGGCCTCTCCTAAGTCGACTCAACATCAATTTAGTACCTGGTGCAGTCTGTAAACATCGCCACTAAGAAGACAAATGCGGCCGTGCTTGGTGCTGGCCACCCACTTCCTCGTGCACTGTGCCGGCCTCGATAGGTGCTCGCTAACAGCACTTTCCCCAACACTCTGCTAAGACTTTTTGGGGGATCTTTGTCGTTCTTTTTGGTGATGGCCTTGCTGGTGGTGATGGTGATCATGCTGGTGGAGGTGGTGGTGTTGATGATGATTGCGACGACGATTATGTTTATTGTGATGATGGTGGTGGTAGTGGTGGTGAAGATAATCGTGACGATGCTGGTGGTGGTTGTTGTGATGCATCGTTGATGTGACTGGGAAGTAACATCCTCATCAATACTCTTTGGTTCTTTCGGTAAAGTCACGTAGGTATAAAATAAAATAAATCACGACGTTTCGGGCGCAACACAAGCGTCCGTCATCAGGTGGGAAAGCGTGGTCTGCTGCTGAGGCAGACTGTTTTTAAAGGTTTGAAATGGGTGTAGCCTAAGGGTCATAAAGAAGTGAGTGGGGCTAGTGATGTTAATGAAATAAATCATCATGTAAATGTAAGATCAGAGAGTGTCCTCAACGAGGGAATGGAAGTGGCTATGTTAATGTGAGAGATTCGCATGTTAATGTAAAATCGAAGAATGGTGCAATCCAAAGGGCATGTGAGCATGAGAGTGCAATCCAAAGGCATGAGAATGCAATGTAAAGGACATGTGACATGAGAGATCTAAGAGAGAGGCATAGAGATATAGACACACAGAGAGTCGGAAATAACAGCTGACTTAGGCAGGTAGGATGGAAACATCACAGTCAGTTAAGACCTTACCTGGTTAATGACGTCCTTCCAATGATTGCTCAGTTTGTACTCATCCTCTTGGTTGAAGTTGTGTCTGTGTTTATTTATCTGGATGGCTTCATGAACAAATCTCTGAAGGTAGCCGGTAGGTTTGCAGAGTACATCCGTCTTGGAAAAAGCAAATTCGTGTGAGCCCACAGCGTTACAACAATGATCAGCATCGGCAGAGGTATTGGTCCTACCATATTTCAGATCTGCCTTGTGTTCATGAATGCGGTCCGAGACATGTCGTTTCGTTTCCCCGATGTAACTGCTACCGCAGTTACAACTCATTTTATAGACACCAGGGTATTGCATGTCAGGAATCACATCTTTTACAGATGGGATTAAATCATGGAATTTGTGTACTGTGTTGAAACGAACCTGGATCTTGTGTTTTTTTTTAAGATTTTGAAAATATTTTTGGTAACCCCTGCTATGTACGGTAGAGTGATGGTTTTGGTCGGATCCTCAGAAGGTTGTCTCCGCATGGCTGGGGAGACAACTTTGCGGATTGTATGGTCCTTTGCATTGCACTCTCATGCCTTTGGATTGCACTCCCATGCTCACATGCCCTTTGGATTGGATTCTACGGGTAGCACTCTCATGCCTTTGGATTGCACCACTCTTCGATTTTACATTGGCATGCTAATCTCTCACATTAACATAGCTACTTCCATGCCTTCGTCGAGGAGGCCGCTCTCCGATCTTACATTTACATGCTAATTTCTCACATTAACATCACTAGCCCCGCCCACTTCTTTATGACCCTTGGGCTACACCCATTTCAAATCTTTTAAAACAGTCTGCCTCAGCATCAGATCACGCTTTCCCACCTGATGACGGACGCTTGTGTTGCGCCCGAAACGTCGTGATTTATTTTATTTTATACCTACGTGACTTTACCGAAAGAACCAAAGAGTATTGATGAGGATGTTACTTCCCAGTCACATCAACAATGCATCACAACAACCACCACCAGCATCGTTCCGATTATCTTCACCACCACTACCATCACCAGTCATAAAAGCTTCAAATCTCGATCCTCATCAATCACTATCATCAGCATCAACACAACCAGAGGTATCAGCTTGCAATCATCAGAATGAGAGAACCCTTTGAGCTGTTTTTGTTGTCCAAAATTATCCTTAGTAAAAATCCGGATGTTAACCCTACGTATTCCACACTGTCCAGACGCCTTGAACGAGCTGGTAGCACCCTGCACGGGAACTGCCGGTGTACTTACACTGTGGGTGTACTGACTTAGATCCTATACAACTACTGCATGTGCACAGCTGGGCGGTGCAAAAAGGAGGGGGGGGGGTGTGATTTAAGAATCTCGACAGGAGATGGGAATCACATCGGCAACCCCTGGATCGCGACTGGAGGCGAGAGGGGCTCACCGCGATACTGCCGTGGCGGGCAGCGGTCTCCATCAATGACACACGACGACGTCACATTAGTCAGTCACGTAACCCCGTCTCGTCAACTCGTTGATTTAAGCCGCTCGTTTGATTGACTAGTGGGTGGGCTGGCTAACATCACCCATTAGATTCACTTGTCGATTAATTGTTTCGATCTCGTTTGATCGATGTCGTGCGTATTGATGATTATTATAATGGCAGCGACCGTGCGGTGAGATGTAATCCAACTGGCATCATGCATTTGCAAGTGCATTGCCCTTGGGACGGTTACTCCGTGATGGTGACATCCGCTGCCTCGAGAGTAGTTTTGTGTTCACTCTTCCTTTAGTGCGTGTGTGGATGTGGATACGTGGAATGTGCTGAATTAAGTGCACCGTCTGAGCTAATTTTTCTATTTAATTATTTCTCAAAAATCAGAGCAGAGAAATGTTGGATGTATAGTGTTTTTATTTCACGCGGACAACTTCTTCTTTTTCTCCTGTGTCACTTTTGATCGAACAGAGCTCCTCACATTCGACACCCCGTAACTCTGTCGTGATTTTCCTGCTTGCGCTGCTCACCTGTTTCGCTCCGCTCGCTTCGCTAGCTCCGCTCTCTCTCTCTCTCAGCCTCTCCACTGCTTGCTTTCTCTCTCACTCTCCTAGCCTCTCCACTGCTAGCCTGTTCTCTCTCTCACCCTCCTAGCCTCTCTGCTGCTAGCCTGCTTCACTACCACTCTCCTAAGCTCTCTACTGCTAGCCTGCCCACCACGCTCCGCTCGCTTCGCTAACTCCGCTGCTGGCCTACCACTACACACTCTGATAGCCTCTCCACTGCTAGCCTATTACTATCGTAGGGTAGCTTCTCTACTGCTAGCCTCTCACTATTTCTTCTGCTAGCTTCTCTACTGCTAACCTACCACTACATACTCTGCTAGTTTCTCCACTGCTAGCCTTCCACTATCTCTGCTAGCTTCTCCACTGCTAGCCTTCCGCTATATACTCTGCTAGTTTCTCCACTGCTAGCCTTCCGCTATATACTCTACTAACTTCTCTACTTCTCATCTTTGCACACTCACACTTAGGATTCCGCTAGCTTCTCTACTGCTAGCCTTTCTCCCCTCGCCTCTCCAACCTCGCCTTTGCCTCAAGTGGGGGTTAAGCCATCTCCGCTGGAGAGGACGAGGTGTGGAGAGCGTCGCCTGGGAATTATCTTGTTTTGCCTCTTGTCTTCACTCCAACCAACTCAACTCCCTCTCTCTCATGCTCCCGTATATATAACTAATTAAGTTGGCCACCTCCCGTCGCCTCACGCCCACGGCTTCTGCCACTATCGCCTCAATCTCCTCTCAACCTGGCGCCTGTTCCGCGCCTGCATTTACAGCCAGCCAATCACTGCTATGCATCTTAATTAGCCGTCTCCTTTCCGTTGCTCTCTCTCGCCGGACCTGTTCGTCCCGATGCTACCTCACAGTCTGTAACTCGCACATGTGTGCATACCACTTGCAAACCCCCGTGCGCGTTACTCCACTACATCACCTCCCCCCCCCCCCCCCCCCCCCCCCCCCCCCCCCCGTGATGAAAAATCTAGCTATCCTGGCTAGCCTTATATACAACTAAGTAACGCGCGAATCTGTGACACAGGTTATAATAACAAACACAACAGCAACAAGAACAACAATATACGAACAGTAATAAATACCCGTGTATATACAGGTGTGGGCAATGCAGTCTGTCTCTTTGAACGCTCCCGTATTCCTCAATGAAAAACAGTCCTCCTTGAGCGGGTTCCTGCCGCCGGTCCGTCACCACGGACCGGGTCCCGCACATCTGGAGGAAGAGACGGCTCAGTGCTCGTCAGAGAGCCACGTCTCTTCGTCGATGAAGCTTGAGCCTCTTGTGGGTCCCAGTCATGCCAAAAACGAGCAATCCGGCTGCAGCTGGTCCTTCAACTCGGACTCCAATGGCGTTAGTCGGCGCGATTCTGTGGGCGAAAGGGAACCAAGCTGCTGAGGTGCATCTGCTCGGGGCGGCGTGACAGGCTCGTCGGATGCATCTGACACAGGCCATTTTGGGATGGGAGATGATGCATCATAAATTGGCGGCTCAAACTTTTTCAGCCGTGATGGGTGCACATCCCACCGGTGTTGCCCAAATTGAATACGAACGCACTGGGGTCGACGAACATCAATGACCTCTACTGGCCCTTGCCACGGGCGATGTAGTTTGGGTGATGTGCCCACCGGCACCATGGGGAAATGGAGCCATGCCTTGTCACCCTCGTGCCACGGATTTCGTGGAGGTTGCGGACCCCGCAAGCGCTCGTTGGCCGCCTGACGCCATGCCGAATTACTTATGGAGGCCTCACGAGCCTCGCTCAATCGCTCAAGGGTCACCTGCATGGAAACTGGCACGGCCGACGCCTTACTTGGTGGACACACACCCAATTTCACCAATGCTGGAGCATCAGGCTCCCGCCCATATATCAAATAGAAGGGTGAATACCCCGTCAAGGCATGTGGGGCCAATCTGTAGGCGGCCAGAACACTCGGGATGTGCAAATCGCAGTCGGTTTGTGCCACATTGACTTGCTGACACAACATGGATGTCAAGGTTTGATGTCAGTACTCAACCATCCCATCTGTTTGTGGGTGGTACGGGGAAGTCTGAATCTTTTTAGTGCCGAGGGAATCACACACTTCCTTTCACAACTGCGATGAAAATGTTTTACTCTGGTCAGTGAGCAACTGCTCTGGTGCACCCTTGTCCAACACGTACTCCTGCAGAAA